GGAAACCACAAAAAATATAATTCGCCATAAGTTGGAAGAATGTTCCCCATTGTCAAAATTGGTGGCCCTAAATACGGAATATGGACCAACCGCCACGAGTGACCGAGCCCGAGCGACAGCGAGAGCTCAGGCGATGCGCTCCGGAGGCTCCAACCCGCAGATGCTCTGCACACGTCCGGGCGCCCGGGTCGCGTCTCGGACAAGCGAGGTGTCAGCATCACTGAGAGTTGGTGGCTTAAGGCCATCCAGTGCAACTTGGCCTGTTAGATGTCAGTTGGTTTAGTGGCTGACGTGTTTTCCGAATTGGACCCACTACAAGTAAAACCCACTTTTAGCAGGGGATCTGAGGACTGCCCAGTTATATCCAGTGTTTGCTTACCGAGTCTTGGTCTACCTCCGCAACCCAAGGGCTGCTTGCCTGTTCACCAGGTCGTTTAGTTTCAATTTCTGGCTTGCTGGAAATGCTTGTGGAACATTGCTTGCGTTCGCTTCCAGATCCATGGCTTGCATCCAACTAGGGAAACAAGGGGAAGTAAGTCAGCCATAGACCATGATTCTTGTCTGTCTTACTGGGCAATTCAAAACACGTACGCCCAAACTGGGATGGGCTTGACTTTAGCTAACTTGTCCCTGCTGTGGGAAGCAAGGGGATCCAAAGAACACCAACCCCTCTTTGATCAAAGAACGTTTCCAGCAAGTACGAGACGGTTCGAAGCGTGCTGAACACGTTGCATGCTGTTGAGCGTATACTCAAAGCGCCAGCCTTTTTGCTCCCTGAAAACAGGGACTTATCCATTTCCAAACGACAGTTCCCATTTGACCGAAGGTTCGTGGCGAACGCAAGTAAAGGGAAAAAGGCCGAAAGACCTCCGGACATGACAGCACTGAAGGCACTTAGGACATCGAAACGGGTCGACCTACATGGCATAGATGCGTCAGTGGAGATCTATGTCTGAGTACATCTGTGCCAGAGATCCCCGGGTTAGAGGAGATGCACACCTTGAGATCTGTGTCTTTTGTCGTAGACCAGACCCACATGGCATCTCATCGGTCGCACACTGAGCAACGGACCAAATGGGTGGTGCAGCGTCGCAGGGATTTGATCCCTATTGTGTGAGGTGTCTCGCATACAGCTACGTTTGGTGGACATGAATCCTGCATTTCTGATGTTCACCAAAGGGTCCCATACGATTTTAATGTGTTCAAAGTGCGTTTGCTCATTGAAGCTGAATTTCCCCGGATTCTAATCTAATTTATTTGGAGGTCGTAGAAGAGGTTGTTCAAAGCCAATCCTTGACCCTTCTGAGAAAGCCCTGGTATGGGCTGGGGATCAAGGGTCGAAGGAGACCTGGGATGCGGATTGGCTAGCCCTCCATTGTGAAACGGGCACATTCTGCTGTGTGTGTATTTGTCTAAAGCAAAAGATGAACCTACCTTTTTCGCTTCCGTAAATATGGGCCAGAAAAGAAACGCACACTCACACCCAACACACAGACACACGCACACACACACACACACACACACACACACACACACACACGCACACGCGCACGCACACACACACACACACACAGACACACAGACACACAGACACACAGACACACACACTCACACACAACACACACACACACACACACACACACACACACACACACACACACACACACACACACACACACACACACACACACACACACACACACACACACACACACACACGCGCGCGCACACACACGCACAGACACAGACACAGACACAGACACAGACACAGACACAGACACACCCACACACACACACATTGTTTTTGGGCGGCCGGGCCCGACAAAAGCTGAGGCCGTCAGACGCACATCATCCGGACACATCTTAGAGGGAGACCTCACCGAGTCCGGGGGGACCCTCATGAAGGGGCCTTCCTTCCATCGGGTTGGTGAATTGTTTGGCCTGGCGCTGCCGAGGCTCGGCGCTGCTGCTGAAGATGAAGCGGCCCTGTGCGGCGATCCGGGATTGCCGGGCCCCAAGTGGGAAGCCAAGGCGCAGATCGTTGGGAAACTGCCTTGTTGGTGGTCAGTTTGGCCCCAGCTCGCTCTTTTCCGCTGGGCGTCCGCCAAAATCACTCCCGAAAAGGGTACAGAACCAAACCTTTGTTTGGATCATGGGATTCCAAACTTTGTTGTTGGGCAGCATTTTTCGTTTTTGATCTTATTGTGGTTTAGTGGTTGAAATGCAGCCACTTAACTGCTAAAATTTAAAAATGTTTGCTCCCCTTACGTCAACCAAGCAGGCGCCAAATGCTCCCATCGAGTGCCGAAAGGGCAAAATGGAAACTGGTCGCCACTTGTGTGTGTGTGTGTAGGCCGACTTTTGGTGTTTCAACAAGCTCATGGCTAGCGCTGCGTCTTCCTTTTAGACTCTTTCGACGCAAGTTCACCTCAACGAACTTTGGTACCGAAATTAGAACCTTTGCAAACCCAACGGCTGCTGGCTTTTGCGCCGTCCCTTCTATGAGGGAAGCAAGCAACAGTGCCCTCAAAACAACCCCGCTTAAAGTGTACCCCCACCCCAAAAGCCAGCAGTCACAGCCAAGGGCTCGATGGGACGTAGCCCAAGCGATCTCAGTGTGCCTCTTGAATGATGAACATGTGGGTATGGGCCAAAATTGAACCACCAAACCACCGCAGCTTGTAGTCCATGTTTCCATTTACCCGGGTTATACGTCGGGCACCTTTTTTTTGACCCGGGTTCCATGTGGAACAAATGAGCTGGTGTCATGGGCCTCGCTTTTCTGCACCCAAGCCGGCCTTCAAAAATGGCAGAGCCAACTTGAGGGACCTTTGGGCTTCGGCATACTGTGGGTAACTAAAAGGAGTGGTCAGTCTTCCAGAAAAGGACCCATGAGGCCATCGCCTTTCGCCAGATTGTCGCTCTGTCACAAGTTCTTGTGCCTCTTCAAGCCGCAACCCAACGGTGTTTCTCCTTTTCATCTGGTCAAATCGTTGTGGACCCCCGCAAGAAGTATTGTGTTAATGTAAATATAATACCTTGCGGCTTCTTTTCAAAGTCAGACAGGTTCCGGAGCCCACTGGATCCTCCAGTCCAGCTCACGCAATCAAACCTTTCCAGAGCAAGCTCACTCCGTTGGAAGCCTTGTCTGGTGAGTGATGTCTGATTTTAGGTTTCCCCCCCCCCAAAAAAAAACAAGCTGGTTTTTCCTTTTGGTGTCCCTTTAACACCACCAAGAAAGGAGTCTCAAACAAATCCACACGTAAATGGTTGCATCTGATTTATCTCCCGAAGGGGTCGCCGGTTGCAAGTGCGAGTCCGTGTGCTCGTGCTTGGCTTCGGCCTGCGGTCAGCCGCTACGATCCTAGGCACGGCAGCCTTGAAGATCAACAATCACATGGTCAAGGCTGAGTTGCACGGTTGATCTGAAACCTTTCGACCTGTTGGGCAATGCCCTTTAAGGAATGTCACCCAATTCATGTTTTTTTGTTGGAGGGGGGGAATATCCAATCAAAGGTTGTGTTGAATTATTATTCGGGTGCAGGCATTCCTTGCTGGTGCGATAGGGAGGGAATGAGAAATGGAATGACCCCACCATCCCTTGTGGTTTTCCTTGCAGGGAATCCCCACCCTACCTATCGCACCAACAAGTTGATCTGAAACTGTTCAACCTGACCCATGCGTCTTTAGGCAATGTCGTGGGAAAAGCACCATCCAAATCCGGAGAGCCATGGCCATGTGCGTGCTGTTTGGAAAGGGAGTGCAGCACGGAGCAGAGAGTTCCATTTGGATAAGTTGAGCTTCCATTTGCGTAAGATGCTGCTTATGTTCACTGTTGCTTTTAACGGGGGATCTACAACTGGAAATACTGCCCCTGTTTTTTGGGTTTTTTTTCCAGGGGGCGCCTTTGCAAATGGAACTTAGCGATTGAACTTCGGTGTGTGCCATGGTCTTTGGATGCGAAGAAAGGCCCCGTGGCCGTGCCCAAAGAAAGGCTTCGCTGTTGGCATGTGGCCATGGCTCAAACACCAATGGGATCCCATTTTTGGGTAGGTGAATTCACCACCCATTTTAGAACCTATATTTTAGTGGGGATTGAACATTTTAGAACCTATACTTTAGTGGTTGGATTGACTCGGATGTTCACTGGGGGCTAACCGGGGTTTTGACCCATGTTTGTTGCATCTGTTCATGTCTGGTGGATGCGAAAATCCAGGTAGTGGTGCGGCTGGCAGGCCTTCAGCAAGGAAGATTGAAAGAGGATGTACCCCCTGGATGTCCATCTCTGGCAAACCCCCGAAAAGCTTTTGGGGGGCGGGGGGGGGGGGAAGCCTTGATTTTAAGAGGCTGTCGTTCTTTGGCATGGATTGTCCCATGCCCAAAGTAACTTGCATGTCCCTTTGACATCTAGGTCCCTTTTACCCTTTTTTTGGGGAGGGTTCCTCTACTAAAATAGACTACAGAGAAAAATTTGGGTACCCTTATGCTGACCACTCTACTGGAGGACCTAGGAGTTTGTCATTTGACCACAATCAAGTTTTTGTGTAAAAAAAAATGAATTAATACACATCGGGTGCAGGTTCCTCCGTCCGTCATCCGTCCGTCCCCCATCGGCTGCTTCTTGCGAGGCGTACCGCCTGCGGGGCATGGCCCACCGTCCGGGGGACCCGAGAAAACGGCTGGGCGCGCGGCTGCCGTCCGCCTTGACACGGTAGGATCAAGTGAAAAGTCAGAAAACCTGGCAGGGAGGTGGCTCAAAAGCGGGGACACTTTGAAATGGAGAAAATAGAAAATATACATATATCTATATATATATATAAATTACATATATTTCTATATAGTGACGTTTAGTTGCAATCTAAAGTGAAGCCAGCAATGCCATTCACTATGCGTATCACATATTCTACACAGATGTGTACAAATAGGTGTATAAACGAGCAGTTGACTTGCATGGGTTTATAGAGCATATTACCAAAAAAAAGAAGAAAAAAAGAAAACGGATGCGCGGGGTCAACAGTGAGAGTCATGAAAACGGGCCGTTTGGCCAGTAGACATCCAAGGATCGGACGATTGCTTCGTTTGAAGTGAGCGCCCGCAACGAGTGGAGTGTTCTAGGTGCCCCAGCTAGGTGCCCTGTCTCACCCCTTTTTGGTTGGGAGGGTTCCAGCCTACTAAAACAGACCACCAAAAAAATGGGTACCCTTATTCTAACTCTACTGGAGGACCTAGTGTTGGTTCTACCAAGATTCAGCTGCTATCTCCATTTGACCCATACCTGGACCCTGCAACCGTTTTTCTGTTTCAGTCTCACCGGAAAATTTGACGCAACACGTGGCGCCCTGAACACATGACACGAAAAACAGCGCAGAAAGCAACGCACAGCGACGCCAAAGTTGTGTCATTGAGTTGCGTGTTGAGTCTTCGCCTGAACAACGTGAAAACGTCGCTTGGGAGGTCCCGGCCCAGGTACGAGTCACGTAGTTTGACGCTGACAAGAACCAGCAAGGGGTGTTTGGCGCAGGAAGCCAGTCCCGGTGTCCATTCACTCATTCCCTGAGTTCAGTTTCGGGCGTTACTCACTTGTTGGGGTTTGGTTGCCATTTTGTGGAGCAACAAGTGTGGGAGCGTTTTGTGGCCCATCCACTCGATGGGACATGAGTTCATGAAACGAAGGCTGCTGTCATTGGGATCTCATCTTCAGATCTGGCCCCATTTGTTTAAAACCAAAGTCAACCCCGTTCAGTGGTAGGTTAAAGGGAAACCGCCAATTCCATTCTCTGACTTGACCCGGTCGTTTTCTAAGAGACCCCGAAGTTAGATCAAGTCGTTTGGGTCCGATTGAGTCGGTGAGGCCGTTTGGGCCACTGGAAGAAGGCGTACCGGGACCTCACGGAGGATCGGGGACGCGACACGTCCGCTCCGGTCGATGGGGGTAGCTTTCGAGGGTGTGTCTACTCCAAGCATTGCGCCCATTGAAGGGGTCTGGGATCTGAAAAATGGCCTTTTGAGGTTTCAAGATTCTTAGGTTGATTGCAAAAGGGATCCGAAATGCTTCGAACGCCCCTTGGCTTCACTGTGAATGTACCATCAAAAGCGAACCTCCCCCTTCTTGGATCTTCCAACTCCTATTCTCGTTATATATATATATATGTATTGAATAGTTCGCCCCTTTTGGAGATGTTGGGTTTTCGAAGGCAAACCTTTTTTGGTTTTCGCTTCGTCCCATTGTGGCCTCTTTTTTTTTCGTGGCTTGTTGGAGAGGGTTCCTTTCGGTACCGAAGAAATCGTCGAACTTTTGGTGCACGGGGCTCCTCAAGGCGCCAAGGGGCTCGCTCGCTCGGGTCAGCCGGGAGCTCGCGATTTCTTTTTGGTGAAGCATGCTTTCGGTTGGGGAGCATGACTCATGACTGCAATGAGGATTCTTTCTGGCAACCTTGAACCTGTTGTACCTGGATTCGTGCAACGAATTGAAAGCTGCTTGTAGAGGGAGGCCACAAGATCTCACTCAAGTTGGGTTCCGCTGTTGTCCACAACAAGTTTACCTGGACCCTGCAACTACCCATAAAGACGCGAGTTGACCCCGTCATTGTGCGGCAATATGGCAAGGAACCGACTTGTTTTGGCAATCCGCATAAGTGGGGAAGGCCAACTTCAATCCGACTCGGCCTTCTAAAGGAGCTGGTTGGAACTTCTAGTTGAAATCTACAAAGCGTCCAGAAAACGTAAGATGTGGTGGCTCGTCCGCTTTTGAAATCAGACACCCTTAAAATGGTAGCTGTGTCCTTCGGGCTCGCCTTTAAAGCCATCTCAAAACGACTACCAACTCCAAATGACACACAGACAGTGTTGCTTGGTTTCCGCCATTTGGATTTGGAGAGGCATTGAGGGTACCCCTTCTGGGTCCGAAAGGGAAGCCAAACGGGGACCACCCCCATTGTAGAGTGTCCCCTATTTTCACTCACACATGCATATGTTTGAAAAGCTGCGGGGGGTGGTGTCCTTTGAACCTTGCGATGAGCACGTTGTGGCAAACTCCAACTGAGCCACAATCAAAACCCGGGTAGACGAAGGTTAGTAAGGGACAATCCCACCCCCCTGCTTAATTCTTGACATGGTTCTGGGTATGGTTCTGGGATTACGACCATGACTCAACTGTCCCAGTTCAGGGGTGCCCGGGCAAGCATCGGCATGGCTTTCAGGGAGCTGGTTTTTGGAAGTGGACCAAGCACCCGAAAGGATGCCGGAGGCCATCTGAACGTGGAACTCCTGTGCCAACCGATTGATTCTTGAAAAAATTGTGTGACTGGCAACACCCAAAGGTGATGCCATGATGGAGTCTCCATTCGTTCACTCGCTATGGAGTCTCCATTCGTTTGACCAAAGGACTGTCCAGGAAAGCAGTGCCTGAGGCCGCCTGTCCATTTAGGGGCGGCACCCAGATTAATATCAATACCAAGAAGACCATCCCATGTCCAAAACCAAATTCGTGCTCACCCAAATTTCGAAGAAACAAACAAAACAGGGGTCCACCCCCTGAGTTGAGACGCTCCAAATTTCCAGCACCTGGGTTGCCACCTTTCCGAAGCGACCTGAGAGGCACAGCATTTGAAGTACGACCCAGATACCCAGGACATGCCGCGGCGCTCAGAGACGCAGTCTCGGTTCTCGTCTTTGAGGCGAAAGGTGGCCCCCTTTCTCTGTCCCTCAGCTAGGTGCCCTTTGACCTTTGTTTTTTTTGGGGGGGGAGGGTTCCCCTACTAAAATAGACTACAGAAAAAAGGGTACCCTTGTTCTAACCTCTCTACTGGAGGACCTAGCTTTTGGCTGGAGGGGGTTTAAATGGAAACCAACAGGAAAACGGAAATCCATGGGGCTCAAAGAGACATGCCCGTGTTGGAAATTTGGGCGATTGGAGGTCCGTTTTCTTCTTGGCTGCTGGAAATCGAGTGAGTCAGAAGGACTAGGGCTTGGTTTGCCACTGGAGGTTTAGGCTTCAGAACTTCAGAATGTTCATTGAGATCTGCTGGAACATATGAATTGCAAACCGATTCCCATTCCGGGCCGGGCTTGGCCACCCCATGCCTTCTTTTCTGTCTTTTGGTTGGCCCCTCTCTTGGTCGGTTGCATTGTTTTTTTGTTTTTGGGACAAAAACAAACGCCAAATGGAAAACACCAAAAAAGCTAAAGAGCTAAGGAACCGGACGGCTGACCACCAAGCAATGGAGGAGGACAAGAACAAATGCTAAATGGAAAACACAACCAAAAAAAGCTAAAGAGCTAAGGAACCAGACGGCTGGGAGCCACCAAGCAATGGAGGAGGACAAAAACAAACGCCATATGGAAAACACCACCAAAAAAAGCTAAAGAGCCAAATGGAAAACACCAAAAAAGCTAAAGAGCTAAGGAACCGGACGGCTGGGAGCCACCAAGCAATGGAGGAGGACAAACAAACGCCAAATGGAAACCACCACCAAAAAAAGCTAAAGGGCTAAGGAACCGGACGGCTCGGCGTCCACTTTTAGCTGACTCTTTTATAGTTGGTGGTTTGGATTGGTGGTTTGGGGGATTGAACTCTTGGTTCTTGCAATTAGACCAAGAATGGGCAACCAACCCCCCCAGCCCCCTGACCACTCCACACCAGTTGGAGAAAAGCTGAGCTATTCGTGCTCACGCCTCAAGAGTTGTGGCCGTGAATCCCAACCTAAATGTCCACCAGAGGTCTTTCTAATATGGGGGTTGCACAAACGGTACTTTACATGGGATGATTATTGATTGGAAAACAACGATGATATGTCCCACATGGGAAACATTACCCATGGCTGAAACGCATACTGATCAACCCCCGCATCTGCAAGTTCAATCAACGAACCCCCTCTTTCCACGGGTCTACTAAAGCTTTATGGCTATACATATATTAATAGATCTTTGGCCTTTTACAAATTGACTCGGATTTTCCGCAAAAAAAAAAAAGAAGAAGAAGAAAAACGCGCCAGCCAACAATTTGGGGTTCCCAAAGCCAAAAAATGAAGCAACGCGGAGGCACAAGCTGGTGGCCGGGAAGCTGGGCGTCACTTTGACGGGCCCCGGCTTCACGGAGGCGCCGCGGCGCCGCGGCTTTCTTCGGGCTGGTTTGGAGGTGGTACGTTGGTAGCCCCCGTTGGCGGGGGTTTAAGAATGGAGACCAACTAGAGAAAACCACCAGTTTTGTGTTTATTAAAATAAAAATAAAAGTTTGGGGTTCTCAAAAAAACAAGAAGAAAACAACAGAAGCGCCAAAGGCGTGGCGTGGTTGTGGGGAACTACTGGCAAGGCGAAGGTTTGTTATTCAAGGAAAATATATACATGGCGGGAGAACTAGTGGGAATGGCTCCCAGGACAGTGATAAGACTTGGCTGTGGTTGTCAAAAATAGTTGGCAACCCCAAAATGGGTTGCCCTGGTAAATGGGTTGCCAACGACCAAAACCTGCGGTCCGATTCCTGGTTTGATTTTGACCCATACCCACTTCAGAAGACTCCCTCTGCTCCACGCGTCCTGCCTTGGCTGTACCGCATGATGCCGCCGGGCGCGGCTCAGACGATGCCAGTCGAGAGCCAGGTTCGCAAGATGGCCTCTAGGTCCCAAGGCTAAGTGCCCTTTCTCACCCCTTTGTTGGGGGAGGGTTCCCCTACTATAAACTACAGCAAAAAGTTGGTACCAACTTGTTCTAACCTCTCTACTGCAGGACCTAGGCCTTCTCGTTGAGAACGCGACTTTTTCTGCGCAAGCGCAGCACTTGCAAGCGCTGCAGCTGCATTTGTGGGAAGCCCGAATTATGCAGAAGCCCTGGTTGTTTTTGATTTGGGGGGTGTGCTCTGTTGGTGGGGTCCTTCGCTTTTGGAGGAACAACCCCCCCAATTTTATAGGACGGGTTCTACTTAGATACGGGATCAACATGAGCTTTCACTTCAAACACTTTGCTCCTCAACACGCTTTTTCGAGCTCAGACAGGAGAGCCAGGCCTCTTTAGGCCTGTTTGGATTCTCTCCGAGATCTGGGTAACCACGCGCCGTTCCAAGCCCTAACCCCTTGAGCTCAAATTTGGCTGTGGGTCAAAACCAATGGTACCATTGTGGGGCGTTCGGTGCACCACCCATTTTAGTCTACTTTAGTGAAAATCGGGATGTTCACTGGGGGGTAACCGAGATGTTGACCCATGGCCAACTGGCTGCTCAAAAAAGTGGTACCAAAACGGGGCACCCTGGTGAAAAGGACCAAAGACATCCAGAGACTAAAACCCACGTAACCCCGAGCTCCGCAAAAAAAAAAACGACCCCTTGAGCTCAACGGGCGGACAAAAGCCGCCAGGCGGAGCCAAAGAAGCGGAGAAACCGAGAGGCAAAGTGGACGCGAAGTCGGGGCTGTGGAGGTATAAAACGTCTGGTCTTCCTTCTTGGCACTGTTTGGGTGGTAAATGAAAAGTGATGTTTTTTGTGAGCCCGGCCTTTAGACTTTTAGACTTCCTGGGTTGGACTTTAAACTTTTTCTAGGTCCCCCAGCTAGGTGCCCTTTTACTGTTTCTTTTTTGAGGGAGGGTTCCCCTACTAAAATCGACTACAGAAAATGATCGGGTACCCTTATTTGAAGCTCTACTGGACTTTAAACTTGTTGGGACCGTTTTAGTGGTAAATGTGTTTTTTTGGGGCCCGGCCTTGAAACTTTTTGCGAAGACTATGTTAGTGGGAATGAAAAGTTCTGACTTTTTGTTGGCCAACCCACTCAGGAAGCGAGCCTTGGTCCAGGATTCCCTATTTCATTTTTTGCCTGGCTTCAAACCTCACCTGTAGTTGCGAAAATGTGTCGTACGTTTCCTTGATGAAAGGGTAAATCTAGAGAACCCTGTCAACTTTGTACGCGAATTCGCATGAAAAGATCCGTAGATAGGACCAGAGCGAAAGTTTCCACCCAAAGAGCGTGATATGTAATATCGGTGAAAAATAGGGTCACCCCCAAACACAGAGGGGGCCCTGGATGGAAAGTTCGAACAACGTGCGGTCTGGTGGCTGATTGATACCCATACGTATGCAAGCGAAGACTTTGAGGGAATTCTGCTAGTTGGCTTCGGATTTTTGTTTCCACACAGCAAACCAGGGAAAACGGCTAGGGGTGTTTAGATTTAAACACTCCCCCTTTAGGTCCCTTAGCCTGTTTGAATGGGCAAATCCTTGACAAGCATAGAAGAAAGTTATTGCTTTGTTTGGAAATTGAATTGTGTCTATAGCAGATTGCGCTGGAACCCTGACCGTCACACTGAGAGGGGGGTAGCTGCAGATTTCAGGTACTCCCTTTTTGGAGCTTTGCGGGGTTGTCTGTTCAGGCGTCGCCTGGAATTAGGGAACCTGCACACTGGAGTGTGTTTCCGTTGTTCCCCTGTGAGCCAATTCCGTTTGCACCATCAAAGCGCAACATTCTTCTAGGCCTCACTGAAATTCGTTGTTCCCGTTGGCCGATCCGCGCCAGAACAAAAGCTCGCCTCCCCGGATGTCGGTACCTGACCCGCAACTCGGCAAAGAGGTCGCTGGCAGGAACCAGCATGGGCAAGTCAACCTTTGAAACCGACCCAGTGCCCCCAGTTTGAGACAGACCCATTCGCAGGAAATCGGTGTGAGCCACATCAGCAAATTCGTCCCCATGTGCCATGCCTTGCCTTTCCAACGGATCTTTGGACCTGAACCGTTTGGTTGAAACAGCTCGAACTTTCCAAGTGGGACCCACCAAAAGGTAAACCTTTTGCGGGGTCTCCCCAGCAACCAAGCAGAGTTTCCCTAGCGACCTGGGGTGTGAGCGGTTCGAATCCAGCCCGGTGAATGTTCCTAGGATTCCGAGTTCGGAGTCTTCGTCGCGCCAAGGTAAATTGTGTTTCCAAAAGCACTGAACCTCAAAACCCGGGTGGTTTCCTTTTAGCTTCCCTCGCAGCTATCCGCTCTCCCAAAAGGGACTTCAAGTTCGAACACCTCCCACTCCCAAAGCCCGAAAGGCCACCCTTGGGGCTGGAGAACCCGAACCCCCTGGCCCCCCCACCCCCTTGGGGGGAGATTGGGTTTTTCGAAAATAGACCACGGAAAAAGATGTACCCTGATTCGAGCCTCAGGAAGGCACCAGGCCTTGCAAGAGGTTCTTGTCCTTTTGAAAATCCAGCCCAGAGAGGGTCAAAAGACGACACCTATAGACAGGGGTCATTGTGTTGACGGTTTCTGGGGGTGATCAAAGTCAGAAAATGGGGCTGTTTCCCTTTAACCCACCACTTAGGGGGTGACTTTGATCAGATAGACTTTCATCACTTGGTCCTGTAGGGGAAATGGGACTCACCCCTGGCTGAAGAGTCAGCCTAGGATCATCCCCGACTTCCTCTTCCCAGCGCCGGTGGTGGGGCGCCCTGGGATCCGCTCTTTAAATTTCAGCAGCTAAGTGGGGATTTCAACCACGAAATTACAATAAGCAAAATGTAAAATGTGTCCCAAGAACAACCATGGGATGAGGGTTGTCAAAAACTGGGTGTCTCACGCGCCCAAGAACTGCCTTCTCCTGTGCTGACATAGGTGTCCTTGTGGAAAAAATATTTGGGTGCTGGGCCGTTGGGGTGGAGTTGTTCCTCTTTTCTTATTTTTTTTTCAGGGGGGGGGGGGGGAAACCAGGATGTCACAAGGACCCACAGGTAGGCGGAAAAGATTTGCTGAGCCAGCTGGGATTTCCCTGGGTTTATGGGGAAGGAACCCCATCTAGCGGACCCCATCCATACGGGAGACCTATGCTTCACAAGCCTTGGTATGGCGGCAAAAAAGGTGGATGTTTGCAGCCCTACTAAAAATGAAAAGAACCGGACAACTAAATCTAGGTCCTCCAACAGGGGTACAAACTTTTTTCCGGTAGTCAATTTTAGTAGGGGAACCCTCCCCTAAAAAAGAACCGGTAAAAGGGCACTACTGGGGGACCTAGTAAAAATACAAAAAGCAAACAACTTGATCCAACCGCGAAGAATGTGCTGAGCAGAGGTTCAAGCAGGCTGGGAAGCCCCAACCAAACGAATTCTGCACCATCTCCGGGTTTATGGCTCTCTTTGGCGAATACCCAAAAACAAGGGACTTCCAACACCCGCTCTGAAAAGAAGGCATGGGCCCAAAGTGGGGCCTTTGTTTTCACGGCCGCGCTTTGCTGATGTGTTTTCTGGGTATCTTCCGTCTTACATGTCTTGTCTTAACAGACCTCACATTGGGGGGGTGCAATTATTTGATCAACAAACGTTTGTAGGGTAGGCAAAAGCAGGTTTGGGTACGTCGACATCTGTGGTTTCAGCAGGTGCAATGACTATCAGACCGTAGGTCAAAGTAGGTTTCCTGGATTGAAACTGCTCTGAGAGTTGGGTCATCCAAATCATTGGGCAATACCTCGCGACACACAGAATTTAAAGAAGCAACACAATTCCAGTGGCGCATGAAGACGAGCTAGTAGAGATCTGGCGCTTGAAGGCAGTTCCATCGAGCTGGCACAAGAACTCCGGTGGCCTCTTGACAAAACCCAGCTACACCAGGAAACCGATTGACCTGATGGGTGAAGGGTTCCGTTTGGTTTCTCTCAATCCCAACCAACAACCAATGGACCAGACGAAAGCTTTAGTGGGAGATGAAAGGCGGAAGTTTATCCCGATCCCCTTGTTAGCCTGTTTGTTTGGCCTCATAAGTTACCAATTTGAAACAAGATATTCATAAGAACCGCCAGAAAGAAAGCTTCTTCATTTGTTCGATTTAATCCTTGGGATCTTCCTTGGCCAAAAACACAAGTGTTTGTTTCGACCTAGTGGATAAGCAACCATAGGCTGGTTTTGTCCAACACCACAAGTGTTTACAAGCTGGAGCTTCAACCAACATTTAGGTCATCTTTTTGCGACTCCTTTTGGTCGGTATTGAAAGGGAAACAAAGGGACACCAACCATATTAGTGGACTCAAACGGATTTCTATTCTGAGAACATGCCAAGGTGATCCGCTGTTGGTTTTCGGGTGCTTCTGAAACTCAAGGAACTTGTCGTTGACGAGAAGGGAAGCACTAACCGTCCATTGCACCCCAGCTGCACCCAAACAGCGTGCTTCGATCCCATTGCTCAACCTTAAAATGTTGAAGTCCAATGGACAGGGCTGTGAGAAATTCGACCACTTCCGTGATACAACAAGAAACAGCCTCCCAAAGACTGAACCATATAAAGAGGGGATTCCAGCTTGTCTGACAGCAGTTGGATAAACCCCGCGTGATCAACCGTGGCAATGGATGAGAAAAAACAAAAACAAGCCTGTTCTAGGCTGCCCGTTTTCAGATCCCCTGCTAAAAGTGAATAACTTTTAGTGGGTTATATTCGGAAACTACCGCTAAACCAACTAAAAGCAACTAAAAGGCTAAGTTGAACCGGACGCCTGCCGGCCACCAAGCAATGGATGAGAAAAAGGGGGAGAAAAAACAAAGCCGTTTTGGTTTCGCTCCCCCTCCCACGTACCAAGATCCGTTTATATGCGTTAAAGGGGTTCCCGCCCCCCTCGGGCCCATCTTAGTTCCTTCCGCGTCAGGCCGCCCCGGAAGCGCCGCTTGAGAAGGGCCAAGCAGTCCTGTTGATAGGCCGATGCGCCGCTCGCCCGGACGTTTGGCCTCCCTCTTTGTTCCCTACTCACTACCAGACACTCCTTGTTTGCCACTAAAACGGTCGTCCAAAAAATACAAAGTCCGGGAATACAAGGTCAATGCCTTTTTTTTGGGGGGGGAAGACCGTTTTAGTGGCAAACAGAAAGTTTCAACATTTTTTGGCCAATCCCTTCAGGAAATATGCCCCCTTTTGCGGGGACCCAATCTACAAGGAAACCGAGCATGTTGGGTTTTCCCATATACATGGGCCTGCCAGGCCGCAAAATAGACTACAGAAAAAAGGGTACCCTCAGTCTAACCTCTCTACTGGGGGACCTATACAACAACACAGGTCGGGCCATTGAAGGGGGGGGGGGGGGCGGGGGCATGGCCCGTTTGTCGAACCACGCCTGCTCTTTGCAAACTTGTTTTTTTTTCCATAGTGCGCCGGACTCGCAACCGATCGGAGTTCTGTAAGTTGATGGTAGCTCTGACTTTGGCAAAACATGCAAATAGGCCATTCCCAAAGTTTTGAGCCCCGATTGGTTGACGGATCAGTCTTTGAGAAACCAGCCTTCTTTCCCCCATGCTTGTTTCCTGAGCGGAAGAATTCTGGAATGTTTGGGAAGCAATATGAGGGGCGATTAGCAAATAACACCATTGTCCTACGCTGACATAGATGTTCACTGGATCAAGCGGACACCAGGGGAAACGGAAAAGCGGGAAGGGAAAAGGTTGATTGAACTCGAAAAGGACCAAAATTGCTTCTTCTTATCCCTTACCCTACAACAGGAAGATCGCATCGAATAAATGGGTCCAAAACAATACTTTGGTGCATGTTGCTTGGATGTTAGGACTTTAAGCTTTTTGCCAACAAACGGGTTTCCAATAACCCACTAAAAGTCATTCACTTTTAGCAGGGCTTCGCAGATTTCGCAACCGAGAAGATGTTTAAAGCCAAAGAGGAACCCACTGGCCGGCCTGGCCGGAAGCTGAGAGGAAGCTTTGATGGATCTCCCGTGGGCCATGAAACATGGAATAAGGTTGCGGGGTACCCGCTGAACTTTTTTATGGGGCTTGTTGCAAGAACTCGCATTTTGCCAACACGATGTCCCTTTTTGGGTGATTTAGAAATCTTGGTTGTTGTCAATTTGAGTCAGTTTACATAAAGCAACTGGTTGGCAAGGCTTTAAATCGCCCTGTTCAGTTGCTCAAGCAGTTGCTCTCCGAGTTCTCTGTGTGCTCGAAACGCCACACTTTTCGACATGGGCCCGGGCCCTGCTCCGAGCGCTCCGAGCTGGTTCAAGAAGGCACACACGCGCACGCACGCACCCGCGCACACCCACCTACCCACCCACCCACCCACCCACCCACACACACACACACACACACACCCACACACACACACTATACAATATGTACAGGTATATATATAACATAAATATATACATATATATAATATATATTTACATATATTCGTGTCCGTCTAAAATCCTCATTGCTTGATCCTAGGAGGCCTTTGGTTTCCACGGCTCGTGCAGGTCTCCAGAAGGCTCCACACCTCAACGGTCGCAGGGGCGTGGTGGAGCGAGAGGCCGGAGCCTTGCGGTCGTTGCTCGCAACTGTTTTGGGTCTCTTTGGTTTTCTGGTGTTCTGCTGTTCTTCTTGGGTGGTTGGCACTTTTGGGGTGTTCCATCTTTTGTGTTGTGTTTTTTCCGGCTTTCTGGTTGCCTGGTGTCGCTCGTGTGGTTTCGATGTGGCCGTGCTGGTGTTCCATCGCAGCTCATTGCCTTTCCTCGCCGAAAAAGCGAGGGCAAGCCTTTTGGCAGGCCAGAATGATCCTAAAAGCAGTGAGTTCAAGGCGAACCGAGGTCTGCACGTTTTCGGCCTGGCTACTTTGAGTCATACCCAAAAGTGCTCACCTGTTCTTTTCTTCTGTTTGGTTGCAAGTGAGTTAGTGCTGATGTTGACCATTTGCATGCGCTTGGACACATGATCCTCTTCGGATGGAGTGCAGCGGTTTCAAGAAACCCAACAAACCACACTCGGCCGAGTAGTCCTAGTCCATTTCTTTGCATAAACGGCTGTTGTTCAAAAACCAACGGCTGCAGAAAACCCTCCCCCCCCCCCGGGCACCCCATTTTCCGCCCATTTCGCTCTTGGCCCCAATTCGCGCCGCGGCCCCAAAAACCGGGTTATGGCCCAAAGAACCCGGACCAATTCCTCCCTCAGCCCATGTCGAGGGCCAAAAAAAAAAAATCCCATCGGGCGCCGGGTAGAAGGCCCCCCGGCCGAGTCGCAGGACCCGCGGCCTGCCTCCAAAGGACGCTTCGAGGTGGAGATCCGCGGGGCGGCCCAGCCGGCAAACCAAACTGAGGGCTCTCTTCTTCCAGGGTTGGGGAACTGGGAAGAGTAGAAGCAATAATGCAAGTTTAGAACAGGGTCTAACATCAATCAAGATCTGGGGTCTGGGCTCCTCTGCTATGTCCCCCAGCTAGGTGCTCTTTCTCACGCAGGGTTCCCTACTAAAATAGACTACAGAGGGAGAAAAAAAAGTAACCTTGTTCTAGCCTCTCTACTGGAGGACTTAGGTGGGCGAGTTACGAGTGACCTGTTTCTGTTGTTTTTAGTTGGTTCGGTGCATTCTTATGTGCATCCTTCATAGACCGGCCTACATCTGCATAGGCGAGGGTTTCTTTGAGACAAAAAAACCTGCGGATTCATGTCTAGCTTTGGGAAGGCGGAGGTCGGGACCGGATGGTCTCCTTCGGGGATCGAAGCACCATTAAAGCAAGGGTTGGGTTCATATGACCACCACTTGTTGTCCTAAAGATTGTCATCATCCAAATTGGGTCAGCCGAAATCTAGGATTTGGATCTGTGGAAAGATAAAGGTAGGGTGTCTAAAGCAATGACATATGTGCCAAACTGTGAGAGTCCAAGCGAGGACGTACAGTGGTGTTTTCTTGTGGAATGAGGAAAAGACTACGGGAACCAGGCTTGACCCCTTCCCCTCAAACACATCAAGGGTCGGCAAAGCGTTTCAGGCAGTTCAATTTTCGCACCGGAGCTTTCCGAAAAGCCTCCTGCCCGGAAAAGACCAGTTCAGTTCCTGCCCGTCGTTCTTGTAAAGCCCAGTCAAACATGGGCAGCTATGGGAGGTAGCGAAATCCGAAAGCCACTGAGTCGACCGTTTTAGTGCCAGGTGTTGATCATGGCTTCCTTGCCATGCCGGAACTGAGATGGGGCAAACGGGCAAACGCCGAAGGGGCGCACGAAAGATCGGCCCTTCCTCACAGAAAAGGGGTACCGAGCCTCCCGAAAGAAGGGGTTATCCCGAGGATTGGATGGAGGGCACTTGGAGGTGAAATCCATCAAGCGCGAGAACATCCAGACCCTGAACAAGGCGCCTCGCTCGAGCCGAATTGGAGGCACCTCGCCGGGAAAAGTTGCTTTCACTTGCTTTTCGTTGGCTGATTGGGAATTTCCGAAGGCAACCCGCTGGAGAAGCTTTTGGCAGGGGTTGATATCAAAAGCTCCCAGAAACCAGGGTGACCAGAAAGGGAAGCCGCCCAACAAAGATGACAAACCACATGGCTGTGGGTCAAAAACATGTACAAACATGGCACGTTGGTCAAAATGGAACCGAAGACTACCACCTGCGTGACCCTAGCTCTTTAATTTTGAGCCGCAACCACATGGGTAAAGGTTTTGGGGCCGAGCGGAATATTGATTAACCCCCGTGGGTGTTTGAGGCGAACCTGCTACCCTTGGAAAGGGTCTGAAGAATTTGGAAATTGGAAAGCCAAAGTCCCAAATGCTCTCACTCACTCCCCGATTCCTGGACCTTGAAGACGGTTTAGCAAGATCATTTGCAATGCAAACCAATCCACTCGGGAAGTGAGGTTTGAGGGCTCCTATTTTGACACATGGCTGCGGGTCAAAACCAATGGTTCCATTTTGGGTTAGGTGCACCACCCATTTTAGTCTATTTTAGTGGGGACTGGGGGTACGGGCTTTTGACCCATGGCCACATGTCAAAATTGGGGTCTGAGAGGTCTCGCGACGCCTCCGCCTCCAGTGTCTTCCCTGTTTACCTTTTCTTGGACGGGTAAACCATTTTAAATCAGCAGCTTCCCGTCAAATTGGCGGTTTGGGTGGGTTGGACGTTAGGAGGCTACCTTCGCCATTGGGTTTCAAATCCGAAACCACCAATCCAAACCACCAATTCAGGGGATTCTGAAATCAACCTGCCAAGAAGTTCCTCGACGTTTCCTCGTCGAACGTGGGGTTGTCGAGAAACAATGTCGGCAATATGGTTGCGCCCTTCCTCTAAAGCGGGTGTCCATATTTTTGACTGCCCTCCAACCTGCTCAGCGGCATTCCCCGAGCTGAACCATCCAACTGGTTTCTATGCTAGGTCCCCCAGTAGTGCCCTTTCTCACCCTTTTTTGGGGGTCTAAAATAGACTACAGGAAAAAAATGGTCTAACCTCTCAAATCTGGAGGACCTAGCAAGGGTACCAACAACTAAGACGAGGCGCCCATTTCGGTGGATGAGCGGCGCCCGCGCTAGGTGGACCGAGAGGCGTGCAAGGCAAGCATCGGTCGACCGATGTGGTCGCTGCCTTTTTGCACGGCACGTGTTTTTTGTAAAGGAAGCGGGGTGGGACTTCCTTTGTCACTCCCTGAGTTCATGAAATTTAGAGCCACTTTTTTGGGAACACAGTTTAGTGGCAAAGAAGTTTGGAGCTTGTTTGGTCAGTCCACTTAGGATGTCAGCTGTAAGATTCCAAGCAAAGGAAAGTGTCGGTTCTGTTTTTTTCCATTGCCACTGGGGCGAAACCATCGTGTAAATTCAGGGATGATAGAGATAAGAATACTTGGTTACCTACTACAGGTGTGGAATTCTGGCAACGTTATCGAAGACATGGTTGGCCTTGACTACAATGAACAAAGAGAAGGATCAATGGTAAAGATCGCCCGCAGTCAGGCTGGTTGCTGGGACCAATTGTTTGGACTGGGGATGTGGCTCAATTCCCTCTTCAAAGCTCGTGTCCCGCATCATTTCTGGAGAGGCCGAGGCATGTGAGTTTTCGTTTGGAGTAATATGTCAATGGGAAATATTGGGACGCTGAAAGCGACTTGAGTTTTGCCTGGCACTGGACAATTCAGCGTCAGAAAAGACGCCTTGGTGTTCTGCGGCAGCAAGCTGCCCAACTCTAAGCGATGAAGCTTGTTCGTAAAACTGCGGCTGGCCCGTTTTAGCGGGAGCTTGCTTCATTTCTTTAAAAGGGGCGGGGGCATCACACTGTTAGCAAAACATCCGACATGATGAGCGTCACTCAGCCGAGATGAACTGGGCTACGCTTTGCATTTCACCTCACTGAAAGCCCATGTAAGTTGTAAGCGACACATTGCTTGATCAACGTGTCCAGCGTGCATTGCAGTTTGTGGCAAAGGGACCAGGTTCTCAACGGATTCCTCCAGCTTTGTTGCCCTTGGTTTTCCCAGCTTGAAAAGGTCAACCGGTATTTTCAGATTGACGTCGCAGCAAAATACTAACATATGGCCTTGAATTTGCGTGGGGAACTTCTGAAAAGCGGTTGGGGGACAGGAATCCAAACCTAAATGATGTCCACCAATGCCCCCCCAATGAAGAATCATACCCATTTGCATCTGTCTATATATATATACATAGAGTGCCCGTTGGTTGTTGGCTTTAAAGAGAAAACCAATGGAAAGCCCTCCCCCGCTTGGGGCCACTTGGGGTCCAAGATCCAGCCGGCGAGGCCTGGTCCAAAGCTGAGAAGCTCCACAAAGAAGCGAGGCGAGGGACCGCGAGCGATCTGAGTGGCTGAGAGTCGGTGCCCCCATGTTGTCGCTTGTTCCTTGGTTACCCAAAAGGGGATGGGGGGGGGACCTTCTTTTGGCGTTCCTTTGTTGGACCCCACAACAAAAATGGTTGGGGCGGGGACCAAACATTGTTTTTGTTTGGTTCCCCCCCCCAAAGAAAGGGAACCACCTGTTATTTTTGGGGTGTTCCTGTGTTGGTACCCAACAACCAAGTGGACACGGAGTTCCTGTGTCGTGTACCCCAATAAAATCGGGGGGACGCCATTTTTTTGGCGTTCCTTTGTTCGTAGCCAAGAAAAATCGGGGGTGAGAAAGGGAACCATAGGGAACCAAGTCTATGGATCGGAACATTCCGCGGGGAGATTCCGAGCCACTTGCCCATCATATCAAGAGAGGCGTTTCATTGCCTTGTCTTTCATCTGCCGGAGATGTTGGGGCCTCTCTTGGCCAATCTTAGCAGTTCCCCAGCGAGCTCGAGTTTTGCCAAGCGGTGTGAAGTCCGTGAGTCTTCAGGAGTTCACGGGTTTGCACTGATCACGGTTGGTGAATTGTGGCATTCCAAGGATGTTTGTATGAACTTGTGTCCTTGTTGGCCACTTTGTGTGGATACATTGAGCCTGTGCAATCGCCACCGGCACCGTCAATTCCTTCAGGGACAAGCGAGAACAGCAGGAGGCGCGGTCTTGAGCGCCGGTTTTCGAGGTATGTCTCAACACACACACACACACACACACACGCATGTTTGAGTCGTTCCCTTTGAAGTGGGCCTTGGATAGAAAACAAATGTCCAATCCGATTCTCGGTTTCCACTTTCCGGCTGAGAAGAAACTCTGTGGCCAAAGCGAGGAGTGGCAACCACATTCCTTGACTTGGATTCCGATGGGGAAAACTCTGGTTGCTCCCCCCCCCCCCCCTTGCGCGGCGATTGGGCCAGAGTATGTTGCAGAAGACTTGATTCAAGGTAAGACATATGGGGGCTTATTAATATTCCTGGGCCCCAGATGACCATGGGTAGCTGTTCCTGTTTAGGGGGAAAGTCATTTGTTTTGTAGGTCCCCCAGTTTTGCCCTTTTACCATTTCTTTTTTGGGGGGAGGGTTCCCCCTAGTAAAATAGACTACCGAGAAAGAAAGAAGAAAAAAAAAGGGTAGCCGTCTTCTAAGTCCTCTCTACTGGAGGACCGAGTTTTAAGTGGTTTCCGCTTTTCCATGGCAAGTGAAGGGCCTTGGGGAGGCCAACGGCCTTGGCCTCCCACTTCTGGTTCCATTTGTCGATCGTTTGAGAGGGGATGAGGGTGCCACTGCACGGAGAAAGACAGCCACACTCACATCACTGTTGGCCCATTCCTCACTCCGTTCATTGGACTCTTGGCGAAAGTCCGCAGGTTGGCAACGGTGTGAGGCAACTGTGAAACCAAGAGATCCACAGGATGCTCACTGATACCCCTTTCGCCGGGTAAAAACCATGTGGTTTTCTGAAGCCCTATTGTTTTTTACTGGTGGCTTGAACCTGTGGGCTTTGAACTCTTGGCGCCGATTCTCCGGAGAATGCGCCGATTCTTTTCGTGCGACGCCTGGATCGATCCGTCAGGAGATTCAGAAGTACCGAAACGTGGTGGAGGCCGCCCTGGCTGCACTCACCGGAGATTAGCTCAAAATGGGCGCCGCGTTCTCAAGGTTGGACCCCATCCTTCGGTGCCACTTGAAAACCGGAAGAAGAAAAAAGCACCCCCCCCCCCCCGCAAAAAAGAAGAAGAAAAACACGGGGGGAAGACGCCCAAATCTCGGAATCCAAATGTCCCGCCTTGGGAGGGAAGCCAACCAGATGCTCGTGATGACCTCACTGTGTTCTCAAGGAAGACATGATCTTGCAGACACAGGGCACATCGTCCGGCAGCCATTTAAGGATTGCAAGGCGCCACTCAAGCTCGCAATGGCCAAGATGCTGGTCGTGATTGCTTCGCTGGCAGTGCTTGCTGTGGGCAAATCCAATGAGGAGACAAGCAGTGCGGCTTGCTCGTCCAACAGGCCCGAGATGAAGAGCTGCGGGGCGGAGTGCTTCAGCCACAGCGACGTGGCATCTTGCTCAGCTCACTGCCTGGAGCAGAAGGGTGAAAGCTCCGTTTGTGCGCAGTGCTATGGTCCCAAGATCCAGTGCTCCATCGAGAAGTGCGTGGACAAGTGCAACGACGAGTTCGACTTTAACGGGGACTGCCAGGCATGCATGATGCAGACGTGCAACTTTGCTACCTCTTGCACCCCCGACAAGTCCGCGCCGGCACCAGTGGATGCTTCCTTGCTCAAGGAGCTTGTCACCCTCGCCAAGACAAAGGACCCTGTTGCGGAGCCTGCGGCGGTTTGCGTGTCCAACAGGCCCGAGATGAAGAGCTGCGGGGCGGAGTGCTTCAGCCACAGCGACGTGGCATCTTGCTCAGCCGACTGCCTGGAGCAGAAGGGTGAAAGCTCCGTTTGTGCGCAGTGCTATGGTCCCAAGATCCAGTGCTCCATCGAGAAGTGCGTGGACAAGTGCAACGACGAGTTCGACTTTAACGGGGACTGCCAGGCATGCATGATGCAGACGTGCAACTTTGCTACCTCTTGCACCCCCGACAAGTCCGCGCCGGCACCAGTGGATGCTTCCTTGCTCAAGGAGCTTGTCACCCTCGCCAAGACAAAGGACCCTGTTGCGGAGCCTGCGGCGGTTTGCGTGTCCAACAGGCCCGAGATGAAGAGCTGCGGGGCGGAGTGCTTCAGCCACAGCGACGTGGCATCTTGCTCAGCCGACTGCCTGGAGCAGAAGGGTGAAAGCTCCGTTTGTGCGCAGTGCTATGGTCCCAAGATCCAGTGCTCCATCGAGAAGTGCGTGGAGAAGTGCAACGACGAGTTCGACTTTAACGGGGACTGCCAGGCATGCATGATGCAGACGTGCAACTTTGCTACCTCTTGCACCCCCGACAAGTCCGCGCCGGCACCAGTGGATGCTTCCTTGCTCAAGGAGCTCGTCACCCTCGCCAAGACAAAGGACCCTGTTGCGGAGCCTGCGGCGATTTGCGTGTCCAACAGGCCCGAGATGAAGAGCTGCGGGGCGGAGTGCTTCAGCCACAGCGACGTGGCATCTTGCTCAGCCGACTGCCTGGAGCAGAAGGGTGAAAGCTCCGTTTGTGCGCAGTGCTATGGTCCCAAGATCCAGTGCTCCATCGAGAAGTGCGTGGACAAGTGCAACGACGAGTTCGACTATAACGGGGGCTGCCAGGCATGCATGATGCAGACGTGCAACTTTGCTACCTCTTGCACCCCGACAAGTCCGCGCCGGCACCAGTGGATGCTTCCTTGCTCAAGGAGCTCGTCACCCTCGCCAAGACAAAGGACCCTGTTGCGGAGCCTGCGGCGGTTTGCGTGTCCAACAGGCCCGAGATGAAGAGCTGCGGGGCGGAGTGCTTCAGCCACAGCGACGTGGCATCTTGCTCAGCCGACTGCCTGGAGCAGAAGGGTGAAAGCTCCGTTTGTGCGCAGTGCTATGGTCCCAAGATCCAGTGCTCCATCGAGAAGTGCGTGGACAAGTGCAACGACGAGTTCGACTTTAACGGGGACTGCCAGGCATGCATGATGCAGACGTGCAACTTTGCTACCTCTTGCACCCCCGACAAGTCCGCGCCGGCACCAGTGGATGCTTCCTTGCTCAAGAAGCTCGTCACCCTCGCCAAGACAAAGGACCCTGTTGCGGAGCCTGCGGCGGTTTGCGTGTCCAACAGGCCCGAGATGAAGAGCTGCGGGGCGGAGTGCTTCAGCCACAGCGACGTGGCATCTTGCTCAGCCGACTGCCTGGAGCAGAAGGGTGAAAGCTCCGTTTGTGCGCAGTGCTATGGTCCCAAGATCCAGTGCTCCATCGAGAAGTGCGTGGACAAGTGCAACGACGAGTTCGACTTTAACGGGGACTGCCAGGCATGCATGATGCAGACGTGCAACTTTGCTACCTCTTGCACCCCCGACAAGTCCGCGCCGGCACCAGTGGATGCTTCCTTGCTCAAGGAGCTCGTCACCCTCGCCAAGACAAAGGACCCTGTTGCGGAGCCTGCGGCGGTTTGCGTGTCCAACAGGCCCGAGATGAAGAGCTGCGGGGCGGAGTGCTTCAGCCACAGCGACGTGGCATCTTGCTCAGCCGACTGCCTGGAGCAGAAGGGTGAAAGCTCCGTTTGTGCGCAGTGCTATGGTCCCAAGATCCAGTGCTCCATCGAGAAGTGCGTGGACAAGTGCAACGACGAGTTCGACTTTAACGGGGACTGCCAGGCATGCATGATGCAGACGTGCAACTTTGCTACCTCTTGCACCCCCGACAAGTCCGCGCCGGCACCAGTGGATGCTTCCTTGCTCAAGGAGCTCGTCACCCTCGCCAAGACAAAGGACCCTGTTGCGGAGCCTGCGGCGGTTTGCGTGTCCAACAGGCCCGAGATGAAGAGCTGCGGGGCGGAGTGCTTCAGCCACAGCGACGCGGCATCTTGCTCAGCCGACTGCCTGGAGCAGAAGGGTGAAAGCTCCGTTTGTGCGCAGTGCTATGGTCCCAAGATCCAGTGCTCCATCGAGAAGTGCGTGGAGAAGTGCAACGACGAGTTCGACTTCAACGGGGACTGCCAGGCATGCATGATGCAGACGTGCAACTTTGCTACCTCTTGCACCCCCGACAAGTCCGCGCCGGCACCAGTGGATGTTTCCTTCGTCAAGGAGCTCGTCGCCCTCGCCAAGACAAAGCCCACTTCCTCCGACATGTTCTATCCATAGGCGGATGCTTAAACCGACTTGCATTTATCTCGTTTGTCGGTCCTGGGTACAGGGCGCATCTTCTTTAGCGCCTTGCCTTTTTGAGACAAGCGTACTCTTGAGCAAGTCTAAAGCTTTTCCGTACAGAGTCCAGGAATCCATCAAAGTGGTCCCGGCATTCCGTGGCTTGAAAATTGCACAGCTTCCTGGAAACGACAGGTGCCGTGGGGGGGTTCCAAGGATTCCAATCTGCAGGCCCGTTCCATCATCCCATCGGGCGACTCTTTGAGTTGCGGCGCCACAAGGCCAGTCGTTTCCCTCGGAGTGGCTCATGATCCTGCTCTGAGCCCCCAACTTTTGCGGGCGCGTCGAAGCACGTCGAAGCACGTCGAAGCACATTTGTTCGCCCGATTCGCCAAAGGTAGAAATCCTTGGCCAATTCGAAGAGTTTAGGAGCCGCGTGCATGAAACTTATTAGCGGCTTGAAAAACTGAGCGGGTGAAGATGAGGCCAGACGGTTTTCACTTTAAACATTCTGATGGCAAATCGAATTCCGACATGCATTTGGCAGACAAGCGCAAAGTGGTTATTCTTGGCAGAACAGGAACGTCAAAAACGCCGTTCAAAGGCAATCCTTACCTTGGTGCTGGAAGGGTCCGTGCCCGTTCTAGTGCTTGTACAATAGGGATTGTGGAAAATGGATGCGCCAACTCTCCATTGTGAACAGCCCAGTGTCTATGCTGAAATGAATAGTTGTTATTTTCCCTGTTGGTTTTAAAGGGAGTCGAATCCACTACTGGAAGAATGTTCTCATTTTGTCCTGACGTATTCGCAAAAAAATTGGCGGTTTTGCTTCGCATGTGACTTGACCTTTTCTCCAGGCGAAGCTGTCGAAGCTGTCGATCTCCGATAAGGCCAAGGACGTCTCCGAAAGATCCGCGAGCGGAGGGCATTTGGGTGAGTGCCGTGGGGTCTGGATGTGTTTTTTTGTTTTTTCCCGAGTTGGTACTCCTTCTTTTTGTTTGCTAAAGGGAAAGCAAACGGAAAACAAGCCATTTTGTTTGTGGGGTGTGTGTTTTTTTGGGAGTTGGCACTCCTTCTTTTTGTTTGTTAAAGGGAAAGCGAAAAGGAAAACCAGCCATTTGGGGGGGGGGGGGGGCGGGGACACACCGATTTATTGGCTTGGGCGAGGATGCAATTCACTCCAGAAGCACTCCTTAGGGAATTGAAATTGGTCGCATTGAAATTGATCACCCGATTGCACCCCCAAAAGAAATCAAGAAAGGACCTCCGGACAACTAGGGAAGGAGAACTGGAACAAAGCCCAGGCTTTGGTCCCTTAAGCATGTTTTTTTCTGCAGGTCATTCCAATTCTCATTCCCTACCTATCGCAATCGCAAGTCTTGGCAGTTGTTGGTTTTTTTTGTGTGTGTGTGTGTTTTTGGTGGTACCCCAAAATGTCGGTGGTTTCAACATCTGTTTTTAGGTGCTACCCCATGTTTGGTGCCCCCTGGTTGGCTGGTGCCCCGCTGTTTGTGGCGGGAGGGTTCCCCTACAATAGACTACAGAAGAAAAAATAATAATAATAAAAAGGAAGAAGAATGGTACCAACCTATTCCAACCAACTTAAATCTGGAGGACCTCGCCTTGTTTTGTTTTGGGCGGGGGAACCGGCTGCCCGGTCGCTCAGTCACTCCGCAGAGGACCTGCTGCGAGCCCTAGGCCCTGAGCAGGCGCTCAGCGCCGGGGGCCCCAAATCTTCCAAGTTCGGAGAATGGGCCCGTGCCCTTTCTAGTGTGTGGTTCGGGGTTCAAAAGATTCTAGTGGTTCGGATTCAAGAATTCTTTCTAATTTCGGAAAATGATGATGGAAACTCGGATTCCAACTTCTTATGCCATCTTTTTGAGAGTTAGATCACCTGCCAGCTTCTCATTTCAGCTTTTCAGACTTACTTCACCTGCCAACTTGGACTTAAACCCAGTAGACTGACTGTTTGACTTAAGGTAGACTTAAACCCGAAAGTTCTTTTGGGAAGGCCAGCACCCCTGTTTAAAACGATGTTGGGGCAAAAATGAACGCGGTTTTTAGCTGTTTTTTTTTGATTTAGCGGCATTGCCTTTTTTTATCCCACGAAGCAGGCCATGTTTGGCCATAGGTGTCCTGTTTGGGTGTGTTGGTTGAATGACCAGGGACCGCATCTATCAACTTGGTGGTTTCCAGTCCGGTTCAACTGAGTCTTGTTTAGTTGTTTTGAGCTTGGTGTGGGTGGGTTCCCAGGGCAGCCGAGTCAAATGGTACCTTCCTCCCACGTTGCCATCTGAGGGAGGGTTGGAAGATCAGTTTCCTCCTTGAGGGACCGGGTCCCTCCGGTGCCATGGCAACGTGGCCTTTGAGAGCCTTTGGCCCTGAAAAACCGGCCTTTTCTGGGTGTTCTCCTAGTTTGGGACAAGACTTTGGACCCCAAAAGTGAACTCTCTGCACCCTGGGACCCTTGCAAGTTGCCCATACGTGCCATGGTCAAAAGACCTGCTTTCTTTTGCTTGGTAGGGGACGGTCGTTGACCCCCTCATTTTTTTCTTTGGCTCCTGGGAGCCCCCAGATTCGGAGTGTTGGCACAGAGATTGTCACGCCGGGGACCCCCAAAAAATTGTGTTTGTCTTCATTTCCCTTTTAACCCACCGGGTGGCTCAAAAGGACACGCATGGCTTGCTCGGCGTTTGCGTTTTGATTGGCTAGGTTTCCCCAAAGCCCTGCATGGCCACATGGGTGTGTGTGTGTGTGTTTAGGGTAGCCGCTCCCCCAACATGGTTAGCCAACCCCAAAAAACCGATACAGGAGGGCCTTTTTGCCACCTTTGGTGGAAAATTGATGGACCCCCTTGTAGTGAAGGATTCCCTGTTGAGGGGGTCGCCAATTTTCTCACAACAGGTGGCAAAAAAAAGGACCCCAACCAAAAAAAAAGATACCCGTAGAAAAGGGTAACACACCCGTAGAGAAACCTCCAGCCTTCAGATGAAGATGTCTCAGGTCCTGGATCGCTGTGACGGCCCGGGCGCGGGGGCCCCGGCCAAAGAGGCAGCACTTTTCGGCATGGCTCTGAGAGTGACCTCCATTTGCTTAAGAATAGTTTTTTGAAACCTGGTTGGTTTCAACAGGAATTCATCACTACTCGAAATACTTCTGTTCCTTTTTTCCTGGGGCCTGAACCAAATGGAAGGTGAAGACTCACTTCCGATCGAGGTTCGTTCCGGACTTTCGGCATTTTGCGTGTTTGGACCATGTTAGCGGTAAACAGAAAGTGTCCTCTCGTTGGTTCTGACCCTTTTCCGCGGAAGTGGGTTGGGCATGCCTGCCTACCGAATTGTACGTTGTGTTTCCTTTGAGTTGATCCTGCTTGTACAATGTTGGGAGCCAGCACAATGCGTGCTTTGCGTCAAAGCTGTACAACTCATGTTTGCTGCTTTGTAAACAGTACCAAGTAATAGATATTCATTGGTTTGTGATTCGGCTTTTGTGGTGCCTAAAAGTTCCACTTTTGACACAGTTGACGATGTGGAAATTGATCGATTGAGAAGCAGGCGGTTGAAAGTGGCTCGGCTCTTCTTGAATGTGCTTCATGTTGCCACCATGTTCTTGTGTTGTGTTTCTATTATTTCGACGAAGCGGGGTGATGAGTCTTCCAGGATCTTGCTTTCGATCTACCCAGGCAGCGGATTCCGGCAGATTCCCCGGGTTGTTCATGCAGATCCATCGCTTCACCCGAACGGGTGCCAACTAGACCTGTCCTTTGCCCACTTCAACCAGACAACTTAGTAGAATTGCTCGCAACGACCTAAGAAGTAACGCTGGGGCCTCTAGCTGGGCCCCGAACAATATTGTTTAGGATTGCTCTCAACATTGTTCTCTAAGAACTTTCATTTTGACCTTGCGCGGGTTGCCTGAGAGGAACCATGACCACAGCCATTTTGACCACACACGGGACCACGACAACAAGGAACAGCAACATCCCTATGCGAGACACTTGCTCGCGCAACTTGCCATGGAAAAAATGGGCACTTCTTGTTGGCCAGGTTTCGCTTGTGAGCAGCTCTCACAACCTCAATCGACCAAAGTGCGGTTCTACCCGAAGGTCAGTGAATGCCTGCGAGCCTGGTTCGGATTTGGATTTGAGGGTAAAATGAAAAACCACCCTCGTAGCGCCTCTGGCTCACACCCGGAGGTCCTGGACTTCAGTCGCTTGTTAAGACCATTTTCCGAGCAAACAGTTTGGACTTGTTTTGGGCCATCCACTCAAGAAGTGCGCCAAACCGCCGATTCGGCTAGACCACCAAAGAAGGGAAGCTGATAAGGCCTTCTTAGTGGGAGACAGTCAAAGTGTGAATGGAACTCCGCCAGCCCGTTCTCCGGACGTCGCATGGCTTAATCTGGCAACGGGGTAACTTACCCAACCAGGTGGATTCCCTCGTTTTTCCAAGTCAAAAGCACGGCGTAGATCTTGTGCGTGGCCCAAAGTTACAAGCAAGGTGCAAGTAGGGCAACTTTCCGCAATTTGCGGGTTGGTGATTCTAATTCCCCCAGTAGTACCCTTTTTCGAGGGTTCCCCTTCTAAAATAGACAACAGAAAAAAATCGGGTACCCTTATTGTAACCTCTCTATTGGAGGACCTAGGATTAGCTATGGTGGGTTCACTCGCTTTGTTTGATTCGGAACCAGCCGTGAGCCGTACCACTTCTTCAGAAACAGCACGCGCCCACTTCCAGGTCACCAACGTCAGCGGCTTCGTGATCACGCAGGCGATTTCGCATTTCCTCGAGCAACTGAGCAGCCCAAACCTGTCTTTCCTTGGCTGCATTTGGGTGTTACATGGTGCTACATTGTGGGTTTGAAGGGAAACAACCCCCACCCCTTGGCGTGCTTGATTCCCAAAGAAAACCAAAGAGGGGATGGACACGTTTTGGACACCTGCTATGGCCATTAGGGGGTTTTCAGGTTCCCTTGCGATGTTCAAGTCAGATCCTCGGAAAAGACTCAGCTTGGCAAGAAGTCCGTTGTGTCGCCTTGCTGGCTTCAGGCTTTGCTTTGGACAAAGACATGGCACGCTGGATCAACATGTCCAGTGGTCCCGGAAGGGGCGAGAAGGGGAACGCAGGAGGTTTTTTTTACACAAAAACCCGGAAGTGTCAAATTTATCCATGTCCTGGCATGTGCGTTGCGCATCTAGATCCCCCAGTGGTGCCCTTTTACCAACTTTTTTGGGGGAGGGTTCCCCTACTAAAACATAGACTACAGAAAAAAGAAGAAGAAACAAAACGAGTACCCTTAGTCTAACCTCTCTACTGGAGGGCCTAGACTCCTAGACATGCCAAGCCGCAGTCAAAAGAGGAATGGTGCACGCGTCAGGCCAAGCTCTTGCTGGGCCAAGACTCCGATTCCGACGACGGTGAGGCCAAAAAGGCGCGGAAAGGGCGGGGAAGTCGAATTCGGAAACCCAGGCGCCAGGCATGTAGCTGGCTGACTCAACGCGGAAATTTTGCGGCCTGCATGTTGTCCCCAGATTAATAGACCCGTCCTAGGCGTTCCCCTCCAAAATTGGTGCGTCCCGCGGCTGCCCTACAAATCAACCACCGAAGGGCTCTGGATGGGTCTGTGCAAGAATCGCGACCTCACCAAGACATGCAACCTCACCCGTCATTTAACAGCAAAAAGCGCAGTGCCCGGGGCTCTTCCCAAGAGGAATCAAGAACCTGTTGAGTAGGTTGTCCCATCCGTCACTGCTCGGAACACCCCTCTGCCGCTATTGACCCCTATGCGGGAAGAAAACACGCGTGGAGTTCTCACTGTCGGCGCGCCACAGACGCCCAAAAGCCGTGTTCCTTCCTTTTTGCACGTCACCTGTCAGGCCAAGCAAACCAGCCTTTGGGTGTCCAAAACAGTTTCGTCAGTCCCCCAGCTTTCCAGATGCTAGGTATATCTTGGAACACTATCCTTCGGCCACGTCAAAACTGAGTCCCCCAGTAGTGCCACATTGTACCCTTTTTTCGGGGAGGGTTCCCCTACTACAACAGACTGCAGAAAAGAATCGGGTACCCTTATTCTAAGCTCTCTACTGGAGGACCTAGAAAAGGTATTCAGGTGCCAAAACGTTTCTCGTGTTTCGGGAATCCCGTCCAACTCGCTGCCTTGCACACCGCCGGACGTCCGTTCAGGCGCGCACTGTATGAAACATCTTTTTCCGCTGCTGCGCTCGCGGAAAAAGCGAAGAGCGACCGAGCGGGAGGTTCGGTTCTTAACCCCTTCCCCATAATTACAAACAACCGTCCCCCCCGCCCAGCCCCCCCCCAAAAAAAAAAGAAAAAAATGGAGGGAGGTGTATTCTTTGGGGGTCGCCGGTTTCTGTTGGACACATAGCTTGGAACCTTCTTGTTTCAACACATTATGGAGAGGGGCAAGCGCATTTTGAGAGCTTGGTGGAAAACATATGTGCTTAGTATTGGAGTATTTGCGATTTTTTGGTGCGGCTGAGGGGAGTTCTATTCTTTTGTGGGCAGACCATGTTAATGCAAATTGAAAGTTTGGCCTTGTTTTGGCCCATCAACGGAAGTGTTTGTTATCCCTTCATCCATTCAGCAAATTGAGCCATCTTCAGGTGGCTGCCAAGCGCCTGCAGAATTGAGGACCCATTTTGATTTGCCATGGGTTTTGAGGGGACACAGAATACTTCCATTTGCTTAAGAATATTGTTTTTAGTTTTCCCCTGTTGTTTTAAAGAGAATCTATCAGTACTGGAATATTCTTATTTTTTTCCAGGGGTCGTAACCAAATGGAAGAATACTGGTTGGCCCCGGACTAATAAACCCATCCTACTAGTAGGGAGTGGGGGTGTCTCCAATAGTCATGAATCCCCACAAAACCAGGGCACCCCCCCTACTCAACCATGGTTTATGAATCCGGGAGCAACATTGAAAGAAACCCCATGATTGAACAGTTGGCAAACTCCCGTTTCAGCAAACGGAGATGGCATTGTCAAACCTTAATAAAAACAAGCGCTGCCGCAAAGACCACAATTGATTCCTTTGGTTCCTGTTTCGGGTAGGAAACTCACTTTTTGGCATGACAATGCTTTGTAGTAGCGAACCCCATCAAAAACGGTTGCTCACAACTCCCCTAAGTCCACCCTTGGTCCCCACTTCTTCACGCCATCCGAGACATTACTTTGGCTGACCCAAAAAGGGGACCCTTTTGAGGAGTGCCGGCCCATTTTCGGATGACAAGGAGAGCCAAGGAAATCGGGTGCGTTTTCGAGGGTTAAGAAGCCATTCCGGGCCCCGGACTCTGTTTCGGGGCTCCAAATCCCTGTGTTCCCATCTGAGCCAGTAAGAAGTTCTAACAGTTTGCCAAAGTCCCTTCTGGGCCTCAATAGCTATATGGATTGGTCGGGTACTAGACTCATGAACTTTCACATCCGATTTGGATCGCGTCCCGAAGTCGGCAACGGCGCAACATTTCGGCTCAGTTGCTGTGCACAGCTTTTCGCAGGCGGGCCATGGAGCTTTGCTCTTGGGTTCAGAAACCAATTGAGGAGTTCAAACCGAAACTGATAAGAAACGGGCAAGTCATTTGAGCGCACAACCAAAACCCGGGTAATTGGAGGGTAAGGGAGAATCCCAGCCATAAATAGCTGCGGTTCTGGGTCGACCATTTTTTGTACCTTGTTTGATGACTCATTTTGGGGGAAAGGCTCACCATCCACTCCCATCCATGCCAAGCCATTCTATCGGTGTGTTCCGCGCAGGCCTCCCTTGCGGACGCTACACAGGCGACGGGATGCAGGGTGCATATGGCCTGGATCATTGCCGTCCGTTGCTGGTCTCCCATTGCGAAAGCATGCGTTTAAGGTTCCGGAGGCCCAGTGCAAATACTCCGCATGAGAGCCATTTGGGTCAGGAGAAACAACCAATCTGCATCTAGAAGCCATGGCCAACATGCTGCTTGTGATAGTGGCACTCACCGGCGTAGCTGTGGGAAAATCCGCATGTACATCAAACCGGCCCGAGATGAAGAGCTGCGGGGCGGAGTGCTTCAGCCACAGCGACGTGGCATCTTGCTCAGCCGACTGCCTGGAGCAGAAGGGTGAAAGCTCCGTTTGTGCGAGTGCTATGGTCCCAAGATCCAGTGCTCCATCGAGAAGTGCGTGGACAAGTGCAACGACGAGTTCGACTTCAACGGGGACTGCCAGGCATGCATGATGCAGACGTGCAACTTTGCTACCTCTTGCACCCCCGACAAGTCCGCGCCGGCACCAGTGGATGCTTCCTTGCTCAAGGAGCTTGTCACCCTCGCCAAGAAAAAGGACCCTGTTGCGGAGCCTGCGTCGGTTTGCGTGTCCAACAGGCCCGAGATGAAGAGCTGCGGGGCGGAGTGCTTCAGCCACAGCGACGTGGCATCTTGCTCAGCCGACTGCCTGGAGCAGAAGGTGAAAGCTCCGTTTGTGCGCAGTGCTATGGTCCCAAGATCCAGTGCTCCATCGAGAAGTGCGTGGACAAGTGCAACGACGAGTTCGACTTTAACGGGGACTGCCAGGCATGCATGATGCAGACGTGCAACTTTGCTACCTCTTGCACCCCCGACAAGTCCGCGCCGGCACCAGTGGATGCTTCCTTGCTCAAGGAGCTTGTCACCCTCGCCAAGACAAAGGACCCTGTTGCGGAGCCTGCGGCGGTTTGCGTGTCCAACAGGCCCGAGATGAAGAGCTGCGGTGCTCCATCGAGAAGTGCGTGGACAAGTGCAACGACGAGTTCGACTTTAACCGACTGCCTGGAGCAGAAGGGTGAAAGCTCCGTTTGTGCGCAGTGCTATGGTCCCACGATCCAGTGCTCCATCGAGAAGTGCGTGGACAAGTGCAACGACGAGTTCGACTTTAACGGGGACTGCCAGGCATGCATGATGCAGACATGCAACTTTGCTACCTCTTGCACCCCCGACAAGTCCGCGCCGGCAAACAGTGGATGCTTCCTGCTCAGGAGCTTGTCCACCCTCGCCAAGAACAAAGGACCTGTTGCGGAGCTGCGGCGGTTTGCTGTGTCAACAGGCCCGAGATGAAGAGCTTGCGGGGCGGGAGTGCTTCAGGCCCACAGCGACGTGGCATCGTGCTCAGCCGGACTGTCCTGGAGCAGAAGGGTGAAAGCTCCGTTTGTGCGCAGTGCTACGGTCCCAAGATCCAGTGCTCCATCGAGAAGTGCGTGGACAAGTGCAACGACGAGTTCGACTTTAACGGGGACTGCCAGGCATGCATGATGCAGACGTGCAACTTTGCTACCTCTTGCACCCCCGACAAGTCCGCGCCGGCACCAGTGGATGCTTCCCTGCTCAAGGAGCTTGTCACCATCACCAAGACAAAGGACCCTGCTGCAGAGCCTGCGGCGGTTTGCGTGTCCAACAGGCCCGAGATGAAGAGCTGCGGGGCGGAGTGCTTCAGCCACAGCGACGTGGCATCTTGCTCAGCCGACTGCCTGGAGCAGAAGGGTGAAAGCTCCCTTTGTGCGCAGTGCTATGGTCCCAAGATCCAGTGCTCCATCGAGAAGTGCGTGGACAAGTGCAGCGACGAGTTCGACTTTAACGGGGACTGCCAGGCATGCATGATGCAGACGTGCAACTTTGCTACCTCTTGCACCCCCGACAAGTCCGCGCCGGCACCTGTGGATGCTTCCTTGCTCAAGGAGCTTGTCACCCTCGCCAAGACAAAGGACCCTGTTGCGGAGCCTGCGACGGTTTGCGTGTCCAACAGGCCCGAGATGAAGAGCTGCGGGGCGGAGTGCTTCAGCCACAGCGACGTGGCATCTTGCTCAGCCGACTGCCTGGAGGCTGATGGGTGTGATAGCGGCGTTTGGCGCAGTGGCTTTTCATGGTCCCAAGATCCAGTGCTCATCGAGAAGTGCAGTGGGACAAGTGAAACGAAGAGTTCGACTTCAACGGGGGGACTGCCAGGGCAATGCATGATGCAGACATGCAACTTTGCTACCTCTTGCCCCCACGACAAGTCCGCGGCGCACCAGTGGTGCTTCCCTTTCAGGAGACTCGTCACCCTCGCCAGACAAAGGACCCTGTTGCGGAGCCTGCGGCGGTTTGCGTGTCCAACAGGCCCGAGATGAAGAGCTGCGGGGCGGAGTGCTTCAGCCACAGCGACGTGGCGTCTTGTTCAGCCGACTGCCTGGAGCAGAAGGGTGAAAGCTCCGTTTGTGCCCAGTGCTATGGTCCCAAGATCCAGTGCTCCATCGAGAAGTGCGTGGACAAGTGCAACGACGAGTTCGACTTCAACGGGGACTGCCAGGCATGCATGATGCAGACGTGCAACTTTGCTACCTCTTGCACCCCCGACAAGTCCGCGCCGGCACCAGTGGATGCTTCCTTGCTCAAGGAGCTTGCCGGTCTTGCGAAGCCCAAGTCCGGTTCTGACGTACTGTACCCATAGGCGGATTGGAATGTACAGGTTTGCTTTGGTTGAGCTTTTGGGCCAACAGTGCCGCGACCAACCAGGAAAGTTCTAGAGCCATCCCGTACAGATGTTTCCGGATGTCCAGGTCCATGACCCAGGTGGCTTGCGGGTTGATCCTTGCTGACAAGGTTGTTCTGTTGGTTTGCTTTTGTGAAAGTCGGACCGCCACCTGTGTTTTGGCAACTGGCAATCTCGGCCGTTATATTTATCTTACTTTATTGGGCTGCTCATGGCTCTTTGGGCATGTCTTTCGCTTTTGCGTTGCCGCGACGAGGTATAAGCCCTTCGTCCAATAATTAGACCTCCGCCTTTCCAATCGGAGATGAGCGCATGGGATCGAATGAAGGTCCCTGCCCCCAGGGGGGATTTCCTTCCTTCTTTCCTTCTTTTCTTCCTTCCTTCCTTCTTTTCTTCCCTCCTTCCTTCTTTTCTTCCTTCCTTCCTTCTTTTCTTCCCTCCTTCCTTCTTTTCAATTCTTCCTTCCTTCCTCGCTTCCTCCCTTCCTTCTTCCTTCCGTCCTCGCTTCCTCCCTTCCTCCCTCCTCCCCTCCCTCCCTCCCTCCCTTCCCTCCGTTCACGAATCATTTCTTTTGCCATTCTTCCCCGGACGCTTTCCGTGGGCCGAGTAGAATCACATCTCTCGCGCGAGGTCAACATGACGTCCATCACACAGCTCGAGATGACCGCTCAGGGGAGCCGAGGTCGTGGATCGACCGATGCGCAAGTCTGGTTTACCGAAAAGGTCTCGGCATTTCACAGCTCTTAGAACCTAGGACAGCTTTCTCAGACAGCAGACTGAACCATCCGACTGGTTGGGGATATCGACTTGTTCCTTCCCACCCTTAGACCCGGAGAATCGAGTCAGTTCGAGCGAGCGCCGATTTGCTGGAATTCGAGTCAATGAAGATGCAGCCCGGGTTCGACTGAGCCGTGCGGCACTAGGGCCGCATGGTTTTTGATCGTGACTCATGTGGATAGGTGGTGGATAATTCCTGAACCTACTTGACTGGGTACTGAATCACCCACAATGTTGATTGCTGCCAGGGTAAACCAACAGGGGAAGGATGGTTCTTGGATTTTTCGGACCCCTACTTGCGCTTTTCGGACCCATTTCAGCGAACATGCCCCAATCGTCCAAGCCTCCAAAGTGAAGGATGGGACAACCTGCTGGGGTTTTAGGGTCACCGTTGACCATACGCATAAACTTGAGTGTTGCTTCCTTTCGGACAGAAATATCTTTCTGGTTGTTTTGAATGATAGCTGAGGTTGCATCTGAGGTACCGATTTCGTTTCAGACCCATCCAAGGGCCCCGGGTGTCCCTTTCAGTTACATCACTTTTGGAGGGGAACACCGTCTTTCACGACGAGTTTACTGATCTGGGGTCGACATTCTGCAAGCGGTGACTTGCAGTCCCCCCCAGCTTTCCAGATAGAAATCCTGCACCACCTAGGAAGCTCTGGTGTGCTGATTCCCCGCAACTACCAGCAAACAATGGCTTCCCATGGTTTCGAAGTGGTGCAAAATGGACTTTGTCCACCCACAGTAGGAATGTCTTGCACCTCTGCCCTGCCGTGGCAGACGGTTTTTCGGGACTCCAGCCCAACTCGCCACCTTGCCGAACCGCCGGCGACGTCCGTCAGGCGCGCGGAAATGGATGAAACCTCCTGCGGTGTTTTCTGCTTCGGTGAAAAGAAAAGAGAAACGGCAGACCACGAGCGGTGGGTTCCAACTGATCTCTCGTTCTCGTTTCCTATCGGATCAACTGATCCCTTAGGTGTTTAGTTGTTTTCGGTTGGCTTAGTGGTCAGCTTCTGCGTCCTGTTTTTTTACCCACTGAAAGCTGAACTTTTAGCGGATCTGAGGGCAACCCAATTCTGAGATGGGTCTCTTTGACTTGGGGATGCGATGTTGACTTGGTTACTAGATCCCTGGGATTCCAAACGACCCTTAAAACCCATGGTTGGGTTCATGTAACTATGTAACCATTTGTAGCCCATGAATTCCCCAAGGCCGAACGGGGCCAAGGAACCCTAGAGATGGGCGGTCCTGTGATTCTCGACCATGGGCCAACTTCTTTGAAATCATTCGCAACGCGACCCAAATCGACAGCCTTCAGAAGTACTCAAGTCAAGTCTTGCTGCTGCCCTGGATTTGGGAGAACCATTGTGGATCGCACTCCCTGAGTTCCTGCACTGAAAACCATTTAGTGGCAAATTAGAAGTTCGGACTTGTTTTGGCCCATCAACTCAGGAAGTGAGTTATCCCTTCATCCATTCCAACTGGTGCGAAGTGGACTGATCTTGTCCTGCCTTGAGTACTCGAGGTCCTTTGTCTATCCGGACACCAACCGTTGAATCCGGACAATTGCCCTGCAGAAGGTTGGTGGTCCCCCCAACTAGTAGGCCGCCAAGCGCACACAGAACGGAGAGGATAATACTAATCGGGGGCCCCAATAGTGATGAATCCCGCTATCCAGGGACACCCCCCTATTGATCAACCATGGTGTACTAAACCAGAGTCAACACAAAAAGGGGCCCATCATTGAGCAGTTGGCAGACCGCCGTTTCAGCAAACGGAGATGGCATTGTCAAGCCTTAATGAAAACAAGCGCCGCCGCAAAGACCACAATTGATTCCTGTGGTTCCTGTTCCAGGTAGGAAACTCACTTTTAGGCAATGATTTGTAATGGCGAACCCCGTCAAAAATGGTTGCTGACCACAACTCCCCCCCCATGTCCACCCAAGGGGTCCCCACTTATTCACACCATCCGAGACATTCACTTTTGAGAACTTTGGTCACAAATCCAAAGGGAAGAGCCCACCGCCCGGGGTGGCTTTTCTTTGGCTTTCAACCCAAAAATGGGACCCTTTTGAGGAGTACCGGCCCTTCAAATGACAAGGAGAGCCATCTGAGAAGCCGGTAAGAAGTTCTACAAGCTTCCAGAATCCGATTTGGATCGCGTCCCGAAGTCGGCAACGGCGCAACATTTCGGCTCAGTTGCTGCGCACGGCTTTTCGCAGGCGGGCCATGTGGAGCTTTAGTCTTGGGTTCAGAAACCAATTGAGGAGTTCAAACCGAAACTGACAAACGGGCAAGTCATTTTGGGAGAAAGGCCCACCATCCACACCCACACCCATCCTGCTCCACGCAGGCCTGCTGCGGACGATTCAGTACAGGCGCCGGGATGCAGGGTGCATATGGCCTGGATTGCCCTTTGTTGCTGGTCTCCCATTGCAAAATCATGCGGTTCCAGAGGCCCATTGCGCATACTCCGCAGAGCCATTTGGGTCAGGAGAACAACCAATCTGCATCTAGAAGCCATGGCCAATATGCTGCTCGTGATAGTGGCACTCACCGGCGTTGCTGTGGGGAAATCCGCATGCACGTCCAACCGGCCCCAGATGAAGAGCTGCGGGGCGGAGTGCTTCAGCCACAGCGACGTGGCATCTTGCTCAGCCGACTGCCTGGAGCAGAAGGGTGAAAGCTCCGTTTGTGCGCAGTGCTATGGTCCCAAGATCCAATGCTCCATCGAGAAGTGCGTGGACAAGTGCAACAACGAGTTCGACTTTAACGGGGACTGCCAGGCATGCATGATGCAGACATGTAACTTTGCTACCTCTTGCACCCCTGACAAGTCCGCGCCGGCACCAGTGGATGCTTCCTTGCTCAAGGAGCTTGTCACCCTCGCCAAGACAAAGGACCCTGTTGCGGAGCCTGCGGCGGTTTGTGTGTCCAACAGGCCCGAGATGAAGAGCTGCGGGGCGGAGTGCTTCAGCCACAGCGACGTGGCATCTTGCTCAGCCGACTGCCTGGAGCAGAAGGGTGAAAGCTCCGTTTGTGCGCAGTGCTATGGTCCCAAGATCCAATGCTCCATCGAGAAGTGCGTGGACAAGTGCAACAACGAGTTCGACTTTAACGGGGACTGCCAGGCATGCATGATGCAGACGTGCAACTTTGCTACCTCTTGCACCCCCGACAAGTCCGCGGCGGCACCAGTGGATGCTTCCCTGCTCAAGGAGCTTGTCACCCTCGCCAAGACAAAGGACCCTGTTGCGGAGCCTGCGGCGGTTTGCGTGTCCAACAGGCCCGAGATGAAGAGCTGCGGGGCGGAGTGCTTCAGCCACAGCGACGTGGCATCTTGCTCAGCCGACTGCCTGGAGCAGAAGGGTGAAAGCTCCGTTTGTGCGCAGTGGCTATGGTCCCAAGATCCAGTGCTCCATCGAGAAGTGCGTGGACAAGTGCAACGACGAGTTCGACTTCAACGGGGACTGCCAGGCATGCATGATGCAGACGTGCAACTTTGCTACCTCTTGCACCCCCGACAAGTCTGCGCCGGCACCAGTGGATGCTTCCTTGCTCAAGGAGCTTGTCACCCTCGCCAAGACAAAGGACCCTGTTGCGGAGCCTGCGGCAGTTTGCGTGTCCAACAGGCCCGAGATGAAGAGCTGCGGGGCGGAGTGCTTCAGCCACAGCGACGTGGCATCTTGCTCAGCCGACTGCCTGGAGCAGAAGGGTGAAAGCTCCATTTGTGCGCAGTGCTATGGTCCCAAGATCCAGTGCTCCATCGAGAAGTGCGTGGACAAGTGCAACGACGAGTTCGACTTTAACGGGGACTGCCAGGCATGCATGATGCAGACGTGCAACTTTGCTACCTCTTGCACCCCCGACAAGTCCGCGCCGGCACCAGTGGATGCTTCCTTGCTCAAGGAGCTTGTCACCCTCGCCAAGACAAAGGACCCTGTTGCGGAGCCTGCGGCGGTTTGCGTGTCCAACAGGCCCGAGATGAAGAGCTGCGGGCGGAGTGCTTCAGCCACAGCGATCAGGCATCTTGCTCAGCCGACTGCCTGGAGCAGAAGGGTGAAAGTTCGTTTAAGTGCAGTGCTATGGTCCCAAGATCCGTGCTCCATCGAGAAGTGCGTGGACAAGTGCAACAACGGTGCCCGACTTTAACGGGGACTGCCAGGCATGCATGATGCAGACGTGCAACTTTGCTACCTCTTGCACCCCCGACAAGTCCGCGCCGGCACCAGTGGATGCTTCCTTGCTCAAGGAGCTTGTCACCCTCGCCAAGACAAAGGACCCTGTTGCGGAGCCTGCGGCGGTTTGCGTGTCCAACAGGCCCGAGATGAAGAGCTGCGGGGCGGAGTGCTTAAGCCACAGCGACGTGGCATCTTGCTCAGCCGACTGCCTGGAGCAGAAGGGTGAAAGCTCCGTTTGTGCGCAGTGCTATGGTCCCAAGATCCAGTGCTCCATCGAGAAGTGCGTGGACAAGTGCAACGACGAGTTCGACTTTAACGGGGACTGCCAGGCATGCATGATGCAGACGTGCAACTTTGCTACCTCTTGCACCCCCGACAAGTCCGCGCCGGCACCAGTGGATGCTTCCTTGCTCAAGGAGCTTGCCGGTCTTGCGAAGCCCAAGTCCGGCTCTGACGTCCTGTACCCATAGGCGGATTGGAATGTACAGGTTTGCTTTGGTTGAGCTTTTGGGCCAACAGTGCCGCGACCAACCAGGCAAGTTCTAGAGCCATCCCGTACAGATGTTTCCGGATGTCCAGGTCCATGACCCAGGTGGCTTGCGGGTTGATCCTTACTGACAAGGTTGTTCTGTTGATCAGCTTTTGTGTGAGGGTCGGACCGCCACCTGTGTGTTGGCAACTGGCAAATTCGGCCGTTATATTTATCTTACTTTATTGGGCTGCTCATGGCTCTTTGGGCATGTCTTTCACTTTTGCGTTGCCGCGACGAGGTATAAGCCCTTCGTCCAATAATTAGACCTCCGCCTTTCCAATCGGAGATGAGCGCATCGGATCGAATGAAAGTCCCTGTCCCCCAGGGGGATTTCCTTCCTTCTTTCCTTCGTTCCTTCCATCATTATTTCCTTCTTTTCTTCCTTCCTTCCTTCTTTTCTTCCTTCCTTCCTCGCTTCCTCCCTTCCTCCCTCCTCCCCTCCCTCCCTCCCTCCCTTCCCTCCGTTCACGAATCATTTCTTTTGCCATTCTTCCCCGGACGCTTTCCGTGGGCCGAGTAGAATCACATCTCTCGCGCGAGGTCAACATGACGTCCATCACACAGCTCGAGATGACCGCTCAGGGGAGCCGAGGTCGTGGATCGACCGATGCGCAAGTCTGGTTTACCGAAAAGGTCTCGGCATTTCGCAGCTCTTAGAACCTAGGACAGCTTTCTCAGACAGCAGACTGAACCATCCGACTGGTTGGGGATATCGACTTGTTCCTTCCCACCCTTAGACCCGGAGAATCGAATCAGTTCGAGCGAGCGCCGATTTGCTGGAATTCGAGTCAATGAAGATGCAGCCCGGGTTCGACTGAGCCGTGCGGCACTAGGGCCGCATGGTTTTTGATCGTGACTCATGTGGATAGGTGGTGGATAATTCCTGAACCTACTTGACTGGGTACTGAATCACCCACAATGTTGATTGCTGCCAGGGTAAACCAACAGGGGAAGGATGGTTCTTGGATTTTTCGGACCCCTACTTGCGCTTTTCGGACCCATTTCAGCGAACATGCCCCAATCGTCCAAGCCTCCAAAGTGAAGGATGGGACAACCTGCTGGGGTTTTAGGGTCACCGTTGACCATACGCATAAACTTGAGTGTTGCTTCCTTTCGGACAGATAACCGCTGACCATAGATGGCATGAACTTGAGTGTTGCTTCCTTTCGGACAGACAACCGCTGACCATACATGGCATGAACTTGAGTGTTGCTTCCTTTCGGACAAAAATATCTTTCTGGTTGTTTTGAATGATAGCTGAGGTTGCATCTGAGGTACCGATTTCGTTTCAGACCCATCCAAGGGCCCCGGGTGTCCCTTTCAGTTACATCACTTTTGGAGGGGAACACCGTCTTTCACGACGAGTTTACTGATCTGGGGTCGACATTCTGCAAGCGGTGACTTGCAGTCCCCCCCAGCTTTCCAGATAGAAATCCTGCACCACCTAGGAAGCTCTGGTGTGCTGATTCCCCGCAACTACCAGCAAACAATGGCTTCCCATGGTTTCGAAGTGGTGCAAAATGGACTTTGTCCACCCACAGTAGGAATGTCTTGCACCTCTGCCCTGCCGTGGCAGACGGTTTTTCGGGACTCCAACCCAACTCGCCACCTTGCGAACCGCCAGCGACGTCCGTCAGGCGCGGAAATGCATGAAACCTCGGCGGTGTTTTGCTCGGAAAAAGAAAAAGAGAAACGGCAGACGACGAGCGGTGGGTTCCAAGGATCTCTGGTTCTCGTTTCCCATCGGATCATCCGATCCCTTAGGTGTTTAGTTGTTTTCGGTTGGCTTAGTGGTCAGCTTCGCGTCCCGTTTTTTTACCCACTGAAAGTTGAACTTTGAGCGGATCTGAGGGCAACCCAATTCTGAGATGGGTCTCTTTGACTTGGGGATGCGATGTTGACTTGGTTACTAGATCCCTGGGATTCCAAACGACCCTTAAAACCCATGGTTGGGTTCATGTAACTATGTAACCATTTGTAGCCCATGAATTCCCCAAGGCCGAACGGGGCCAAGGAACCCTAGAGATGGGCGGTCATGTGATTCTCGACCATGGGCCAACTTCTTTGAAATCATTCGCAACGCGACCCAAATCGACAGCCTTCAGAAGTACTCAAGTCAAGTCTTGCTGCTGCCCTGGATTTGGGAGAACCATTGTGGATCGCACTCCCTGAGTTCCTGCACTGAAAACCATTTAGTGGCAAATTAGAAGTTCGGACTTGTTTTGGCCCATCAACTCAGGAAGTGAGTTATCCCTTCATCCATTCCAACTGGTGCGAAGTGGACTGATCTTGTCCTGCCTTGAGTACTCGAGGTCCTTTGTCTATCCGGACACCAACCGTTGAATCCGGACAATTGCCCTGCAGAAGGTTGGTGGTCCCCCCAAGTAGTAGGCCGCCAAGCGCACACAGAACGGAGAGGATAATACTAATCGGGGGCCCCAATAGTGATGAATCCCGCTATCCAGGGACACCCCCCTATTGATCAACCATGGTGTACTAAACCAGAGTCAAAACAAAAAGGGGCCCATCATTGAGCAGTTGGCAGACCCCCGTTTCAGCAAACGGAGATGGCATTGTCAAACCTTAATGATCACAAGCGCCGCCGCAAGGGCCACAATTGATTCCTGTGGTTCCTGTTCCAGGTAGGAAACTCACTTTTGGGCAATGATTTGTAATAGCGAACCCCATCAAAAATGGTTGCTGACCACAACTCCCCCCCTATGTCCACCCAAGGGGTCCCCACTTATTCACACCATCCGAGACATTCACTTTTGAGAACTTTGGTCACAAATCCAAAGGGAAGAGCCCACCGCCCGGGGTGGCTTTTCTTTGGCTTTCAACCCAAAAATGGGACCCTTTTGAGGAGTACCGGCCCTTCAAATGACAAGGAGAGCCATCTGAGAAGCCGGTAAGAAGTTCTACAAGCTTCCAGAATCCGATTTGGATCGCGTCCCGAAGTCGGCAACGGCGCAACATTTCGGCTCAGTTGCTGCGCACGGCTTTTCGCAGGCGGGCCATGTGGAGCTTTAGTCTTGGGTTCAGAAACCAATTGAGGAGTTCAAACCGAAACTGACAAACGGGCAAGTCATTTTGGGAGAAAGGCCCACCATCCACACCCACACCCATCCTGCTCCACGCAGGCCTGCTGCGGACGATTCAGTACAGGCGCAGGGATGCAGGGTGCATATGGCCTGGATCATTGCCGTTTGTTGCTGGTCTCCCATTGCGAAATCATGCGGTTCCAGAGGCCCATTGCGAATACAGAGCCATTTGGGTCAGGAGAGCAACCAAATTGCATCTAGAAGCCATGGCCAACATGCTGCTCGTGATAGTGGCACTCACCGGCGTTGCTGTGGGGAAATCCGCATGCACGTCCAACCGGCCCCAGATGAAGAGCTGCGGGGCGGAGTGCTTCAGCCACAGCGACGTAGCATCTTGCTCAGCCGACTGCCTGGAGCAGAAGGGTGAAAGCTCCGTTTGTGCGCAGTGCTATGGTCCCAAGATCCAGTGCTCCATCGAGAAGTGCGTGGACAAGTGCAACGACGAGTTCGACTTTAACGGGGACTGCCAGGCATGCATGATGCAGACGTGTAACTTTGCTACCTCTTGCACCCCTGACAAGTCCGCGCCGGCACCAGTGGATGCTTCCTTGCTCAAGGAGCTTGTCACCCTCGCCAAGACAAAGGACCCTGTTGCGGAGCCTGCGGCGGTTTGCGTGTCCAACAGGCCCGAGATGAAGAGCTGCGGGGCGGAGTGCTTCAGCCACAGCGACGTGGCATCTTGCTCAGCCGACTGCCTGGAGCAGAAGGGTGAAAGCTCCGTTTGTGCGCAGTGCTATGGTCCCAAGATCCAATGCTCCATCGAGAAGTGCGTGGACAAGTGCAACAACGAGTTCGACTTTAACGGGGACTGCCAGGCATGCATGATGCAGACGTGCAACTTTGCTACCTCTTGCACCCCCGACAAGTCCGCGGCGGCACCAGTGGATGCTTCCTTGCTCAAGGAGCTTGTCACCCTCGCCAAGACAAAGGACCCTGTTGCGGAGCCTGCGGCGGTTTGCGTGTCCAACAGGCCCGAGATGAAGAGCTGCGGGGCGGAGTGCTTCAGCCACAGCGACGTGGCATCTTGCTCAGCCGACTGCCTGGAGCAGAAGGGTGAAAGCTCCGTTTGTGCGCAGTGCTATGGTCCCAAGATCCAGTGCTCCATCGAGAAGTGCGTGGACAAGTGCAACGACGAGTTCGACTTTAACGGGGACTGCCAGGCATGCATGATGCAGACGTGCAACTTTGTTACCTCTTGCACCCCCGACAAGTCCGCGGCGGCACCAGTGGATGCTTCCCTGCTCAAGGAGCTTGTCACCCTCGCCAAGACAAAGGACCCTGTTGCGGAGCCTGCGGCGGTTTGCGTGTCCAACAGGCCCGAGATGAAGAGCTGCGGGGCGGAGTGCTTCAGCCACAGCGACGTGGCATCTTGCTCAGCCGACTGCCTGGAGCAGAAGGGTGAAAGCTCCGTTTGTGCGCAGTGCTATGGTCCCAAGATCCAGTGCTCCATCGAGAAGTGCGTGGACAAGTGCAACGACGAGTTCGACTTTAACGGGGACTGCCAGGCATGCATGATGCAGACGTGCAACTTTGCCACCTCTTGCACCCCCGACAAGTCCGCGGCGGCACCAGTGGATGCTTCCCTGCTCAAGGAGCTTGTCACCCTCGCCAAGACAAAGGACCCTGTTGCGGAGCCTGCGGCGGTTTGCGTGTCCAACAGGCCCGAGATGAAGAGCTGCGGGGCGGAGTGCTTCAGCCACAGCGACGTGGCATCTTGCTCAGCCGACTGCCTGGAGCAGAAGGGTGAAAGCTCCGTTTGTGCGCAGTGCTATGGTCCCAAGATCCAGTGCTCCATCGAGAAGTGCGTGGACAAGTGCAACAACGAGTTCGACTTTAACGGGGACTGCCAGGCATGCATGATGCAGACGTGCAACTTTGCTACCTCTTGCACCCCTGACAAGTCCGCGGCGGCACCAGTGGATGCTTCCTTGCTCAAGGAGCTTGTCACCCTCGCCAAGACAAAGGACCCTGTTGCGGAGCCTGCGGCGGTTTGCGTGTCCAACAGGCCCGAGATGAAGAGCTGCGGGGCGGAGTGCTTCAGCCACAGCGACGTGGCATCTTGCTCAGCCGACTGCCTGGAGCAGAAGGGTGAAAGCTCCGTTTGTGCGCAGTGCTATGGTCCCAAGATCCAGTGCTCCATCGAGAAGTGCGTGGACAAGTGCAACGACGAGTTCGACTTCAACGGGGACTGCCAGGCATGCATGATGCAGACGTGCAACTTTGCTACCTCTTGCACCCCCGACAAGTCCGCGCCGGCACCAGTGGATGCTTCCTTGCTCAAGGAGCTTGCCGGTCTTGCGAAGCCCAAGTCCGGTTCTGACGTACTGTACCCATAGGCGGATTGGAATGTACAGGTTTGCTTTGGTTGAGCTTTTGGGCCAACAGTGCCGCGACCAACCAGGCAAGTTCTAGAGCCATCCCGTATAGATGTTTCCGGATGTCCAGGTCCATGACCCAGGTGGCTTGCGGGTTGATCCTTACTGACAAGGTTGTTCTGTTGATCAGCTTTTGTGTGAAGGTCGGACCGCCACCTGTGTGTTGGCAACTGGCAAATTCGGCCGTTATATTTATCTTACTTTATTGGGCTGCTCATGGCTCTTTGGGCATGTCTTTCACTTTTGCGTTGCCGCGACGAGGTATAAGCCCTTCGTCCAATAATTAGACCTCCGCCTTTCCAATCGGAGATGAGCGCATCGGATCGAATGAAAGTCCCTGTCCCCCAGGGGGATTTCCTTCCTTCTTTCCTTCGTTCCTTCCATCATTATTTCCTTCTTTTCTTCCTTCCTTCCTTCCTTCCTTCCTTCTTTTCCTCCTTCCTTCCTCGCTTCCTCCCTTCCTCCCTCCTCCCTCCCTCCCTCCCTCCCTCCCTTCCCTCCGTTCACGAATCATTTCTTTTGCCATTCTTCCACGGACACTTTCCGTGGGCCGAGTAGAATCACATCTCTCGCGCGAGGTCAACATGACGTCCATCACACAGCTCGAGATGACCGCTCAGGCGAGCCGAGGTCGTGGATCGACTGATGCGCAAGTCTGGTTTACCGAAAAGGTCTCGGCATTTCACAGCTCTTAGAACCTAGGACAGCTTTCTCAGACAGCAGACTGAACCATCCGACTGGTTTGGGGATATCGACTTGTTCCTTCCCACCCTTAGACCCGGAGAATCGAGTCAGTTCGAGCGAGCGTCGATTTGCTGGAATTCGAGTCGATGAAGATGCAGCCCGGGTTCGCCTGAGCCGTGCGGCACTAGGGCCGCATGGTTTTTGATCGTGACTCATGTGGATAGGTGGTGGATAATTCCTGAACCTACTTGACTGGGTACTGAATCACCCACAATGTTGATTGCTGCCAGGGTAAACCAACAGGGGAAGGATGGTTCTTGGATTTTTCGGACCCCTACTTGCGCTTGTCTATTGGTGCTCCTTCAGTGCAAACCCCTCCTTGTGAATCAGATTGTCATCCCGCTTTGTCGTAGGGAACGGATTTGCCTTTGGAGAGAGTCCGCATTTCAGCGAACATGCCCCAATCGTCCAAGCCTCCAAAGTGAAGGATTGGACAACCTGCTGTAGTTTTAGGGTCACCGTTGACCATACGCATAAACTTGAGTGTTGCTTCCTTTCAGACAGATAACCGCTGACCATAGATGGCATGAACTTGAGTGTTGCTTCCTTTCGGACAGACAACCGCTGACCATACATGGCATGAACTTGAGTGTTGCTTCCTTTCGGACAGAAATATCTTTCTGGTTGTTTTGAATGATAGCTGAGGTTGCATCTGAGGTACCGATTTCGTTTCAGACCCATCCAAGAGCCCCGGGTGTCCCTTTCAGTTCCATCACTTTTGGAGGGGAACACCGTCTTTCACGACGAGTCTACTGATCTGGGGTCGACATTCTGCAAGCGGTGACTTGCAGTCCCCCCCAGCTTTTCAGATAGAAATCCTGCACCACCTAGGAAGCTCTGGTGTGCTGATTCCCCGCAACTACCAGCAAACAATGGCTTCCCATGGTTTCGAAGTGGTGCAAAATGGACTTTGTCCACCCACAGTAGGAATGTCTTGCACCTCTGCCCTGCCGTGGCAGACGGTTTTTCGGGACTCCAACCCAACTCGCCACCTTGCGAACCGCCAGCGACGTCCGTCAGGCGCGGAAATGCATGAAACCTCGGCAGTGTTTTGCTCGGAAAAAGAAAAAGAGAAACGGCAGACGACGAGCGGTGGGTTCCAAGGATCTCTGGTTCTCGTTTCCCATCGGATCATCCGATCCCTTAGGTGTTTAGTTGTTTTCGGTTGGCTTAGTGGTCAGCTTCGCGTCCCGTTTTTTTACCCACTGAAAGTTGAACTTTGAGCGGATCTGAGGGCAACCCAATTCTGAGATGGGTCTCTTTGACTTGGGGATGCGATGTTGACTTGGTTACTAGATCCCTGGGATTCCAAACGACCCTTAAAACCCATGATTGGGTTCATGTAACTATGTAACCATTTGTAGCCCATGAATTCCCCAAGGCCGAACGGGGCCAAGGAACCCTAGAGATGGGCGGTCCTCTGATTCTCGACCATGGGCCAACCTCTTTGAAATCATTCGCAACGCGACCCAAATCGACAGCCCTCAGAAGTACTCAAGTCAAGTCTTGCTGCTGCCCTGGATTTGGGAGAACCATTGTGGATCGCACTCCCTGAGTTCCTGCACTGAAAACCATTTAGTGGCAAATTAGAAGTTCGGACTTGTTTTGGCCCATCAACTCAGGAAGTGAGTTATCCCTTCATCCATTCCAACTGGTGCGAAGTGGACTGATCTTGTCCTGCCTTGAGTACTCGAGGTCCTTTGTCTATCCGGACACCAACCGTTGAATCCGGACAATTGCCCTGCAGAAGGTTGGTGGTCCACCCAAGTAGTAGGCCGCCAAGCGCACACAGAACGGAGAGGATAATACTAATCGGGGGCCCCAATAGTGATGAATCCCCCTATCCAGGGACACCCCCCTATTGATCAACCATGGTGTACTAAACCAGAGTCAACACAAAAAGGGGCCCATCATTGAGCAGTAGGCAGACCCCCGTTTCAGCAAACGGAGATGGCATTGTCAAACCTTAATGATCACAAGCGCCGCCGCAAGGGCCACAATTGATTCCTGTGGTTCCTGTTCCAGGTAGGAAACTCACTTTTGGGCAATGATTTGCAATGGCGAACCCATCAAAAATGGTTGCTGACCACAACTCCCCCCCTATGTCCACCCAAGGGATCCCCACTTATTCACACCATCCGAGACATTCACTTTTGAGAACTTTGGTCACAAATCCAAAGGGAAGAGCCCACCGCCCGGGGTGGCTTTTCTTTGGCTTTCAACCCAAAAATGGGACCCTTTTGAGGAGTACCGGCCCTTCAAATGACAAGGAGAGCCATCTGAGAAGCCGGTAAGAAGTTCTACAAGCTTCCAGAATCCGATTTGGATCGCGTCCCGAAGTCGGCAACGGCGAAACATTTCGGCTCAGTTGCTGCGCACGGCTTTTCGCAGGCGGGCCATGTGGAGCTTTAGTCTTGGGTTCAGAAACCAATTGAGGAGTTCAAACCGAAACTGACAAACGGGCAAGTCATTTTGGGAGAAAGGCCCACCATCCACACCCACACCCATCCTGCTCCACGCAGGCCTGCTGCGGACGATTCAGTACAGGCGCAGGGATGCAGGGTGCATATGGCCTGGATCATTGCCGTTTGTTGCTGGTCTCCCATTGCGAAATCATGCGGTTCCAGAGGCCCATTGCGAATACTCCGCATGAGAGCCATTTGGGTCAGGAGAACAACCAATCTGCATCTAGAAGCCATGGCCAACATGCTGCTCGTGATAGTGGCACTCACCGGCGTTGCTGTGGGGAAATCCGCATGCACGTCCAACCGGCCCGAGATGAAGAGCTGCGGGGCGGAGTGCTTCAGCCACAGCGACGTGGCATCTTGCTCAGCCGACTGCCTGGAGCAGAAGGGTGAAAGCTCCGTTTGTGCGCAGTGCTATGGTCCCAAGATCCAATGCTCCATCGAGAAGTGCGTGGACAAGTGCAACGACGAGTTCGACTTTAACGGGGACTGCCAGGCATGCATGATGCAGACGTGCAACTTTGCTACCTCTTGCACCCCCGACAAGTCCGCGGCGGCACCAGTGGATGCTTCCCTGCTCAAGGAGCTTGTCACCCTCGCCAATGCAAAGGACCCTGTTGCGGAGCCTGCGGCGGTTTGCGTGTCCAACAGGCCCGAGATGAAGAGCTGCGGGGCGGAGTGCTTCAGCCACAGCGACGTGGCATCTTGCTCAGCCGACTGCCTGGAGCAGAAGGGTGAAAGCTCCGTTTGTGCGCAGTGCTATGGTCCCAAGATCCAGTGCTCCATCGAGAAGTGCGTGGACAAGTGCAACGACGAGTTCGACTTTAACGGGGACTGCCAGGCATGCATGATGCAGACGTGCAACTTTGCTACCTCTTGCACCCCCGACAAGTCCGCGGCGGCACCAGTGGATGCTTCCCTGCTCAAGGAGCTTGTCACCCTCGCCAAGACAAAGGACCCTGTTGCGGAGCCTGCGGCGGTTTGCGTGTCCAACAGGCCCGAGATGAAGAGCTGCGGGGCGGAGTGCTTCAGCCACAGCGACGTGGCATCTTGCTCAGCCGACTGCCTGGAGCAGAAGGGTGAAAGCTCCGTTTGTGCGCAGTGCTATGGTCCCAAGATCCAATGCTCCATCGAGAAGTGCGTGGACAAGTGCAACAACGAGTTCGACTTTAACGGGGACTGCCAGGCATGCATGATGCAGACGTGCAACTTTGCTACCTCTTGCACCCCCGACAACTCCGCGGCGGTACCAGTGGATGCTTCCCTGCTCAAGGAGCTTGTCACCCTCGCCAATGCAAAGGACCCTGTTGCGGAGCCTGCGGCGGTTTGCGTGTCCAACAGGCCCGAGATGAAGAGCTGCGGGGCGGAGTGCTTCAGCCACAGCGACGTGGCATCTTGCTCAACCGACTGCCTGGAGCAGAAGGGTGAAAGCTCCGTTTGTGCGCAGTGCTATGGTCCCAAGATCCAATGCTCCATCGAGAAGTGCGTGGACAAGTGCAACGACGAGTTCGACTTCAACGGGGACTGCCAGGCATGCATGATGCAGACGTGCAACTTTGCTACCTCTTGCACCCCCGACAAGTCCGCGGCGGCACCAGTGGATGCTTCCTTGCTCAAGGAGCTTGTCACCCTCGCCAAGACAAAGGACCCTGTTGCGGAGCCTGCGGCGGTTTGCCAACAGGCCCGAGATGAAGAGCTGCGGGGCGGAGTGCTTCAGCCACAGCGACGTGGCATCTTGCTCAGCCGACTGCCTGGAGCAGAAGGGTGAAAGCTCCGTTTGTGCGCAGTGCTATGGTCCCAAGATCCAATGCTCCATCGAGAAGTGCGTGGACAAGTGCAACGACGAGTTCGACTTTAACGGGGACTGCCAGGCATGCATGATGCAGACGTGCAACTTTGCTACCTCTTGCACCCCCGACAAGTCCGCGCCGGCACCAGTGGATGCTTCCCTGCTCAAGGAGCTTGTCACCCTCGCCAAGACAAAGGACCCTGTTGCGGAGCCTGCGGCAGTTTGCGTGTCCAACAGGCCCGAGATGAAGAGCTGCGGGGCGGAGTGCTTCAGCCACAGCGACGTGGCATCTTGCTCAGCCGACTGCCTGGAGCAGAAGGGTGAAAGCTCCGTTTGTGCGCAGTGCTATGGTCCCAAGATCCAGTGCTCCATCGAGAAGTGCGTGGACAAGTGCAACGACGAGTTCGACTTTAACGGGGACTGCCAGGCATGCATGATGCAGACGTGCAACTTTGCTACCTCTTGCACCCCCGACAAGTCCGCGCCGGCACCAGTGGATGCTTCCTTGCTCAAGGAGCTTGTCACCCTCGCCAAGACAAAGGACCCTGTTGCGGAGCCTGCGGCAGTTTGCGTGTCCAACAGGCCCGAGATGAAGAGCTGCGGGGCGGAGTGCTTCAGCCACAGCGACGTGGCATCTTGCTCAGCCGACTGCCTGGAGCAGAAGGGTGAAAGCTCCGTTTGTGCGCAGTGCTATGGTCCCAAGATCCAGTGCTCCATCGAGAAGTGCGTGGACAAGTGCAACGACGAGTTCGACTTTAACGGGGACTGCCAGGCATGCATGATGCAGACGTGCAACTTTGCTACCTCTTGCACCCCCGACAAGTCCGCGGCGGCACCAGTGGATGCTTCCTTGCTCAAGGAGCTTGCCGGTCTTGCGAAGCCCAAGTCCGGTTCTGACGTACTGTACCCATAGGCGGATTGGAATGTACAGGTTTGCTTTGGTTGAGCTTTTGGGCCAACAGTGCCGCGACCAACCAGGAAAGTTCTAGAGCCATCCCGTACAGATGTTTCCGGATGTCCAGGTCCATGACCCAGGTGGCTTGCGGGTTGATCCTTGCTGACAAGGTTGTTCTGTTGGTTTGCTTTTGTGAAAGTCGGACCGCCACCTGTGTTTTGGCAACTGGCAATCTCGGCCGTTATATTTATCTTACTTTATTGGGCTGCTCATGGCTCTTTGGGCATGTCTTTCGCTTTTGCGTTGCCGCGACGAGGTATAAGCCCTTCGTCCAATAATTAGACCTCCGCCTTTCCAATCGGAGATGAGCGCATGGGATCGAATGAAGGTCCCTGCCCCCAGGGGGGATTTCCTTCCTTCTTTCCTTCTTTTCTTCCTTCCTTCCTTCTTTTCTTCCCTCCTTCCTTCTTTTCTTCCTTCCTTCCTTCTTTTCTTCCCTCCTTCCTTCTTTTCAATTCTTCCTTCCTTCCTCGCTTCCTCCCTTCCTCCCTCCTGCCTCCCTCCCTCCCTCCCTCCTCCCTCCCTCGCTTCCTTCCTCCCTCCCTTCCCTCCGTTCACAATTCATTTCTTTTGCCATTCTTCCCCGGACGCTTTCCGTGGGCCGAGTAGAATCACATCTCTCGCGAGGTCAACATGACGTCCATCACACAGGTCGAGATGACCGCTCAGGCGAGCCGAGGTCGTGGATCGACCAATGCGCAAGTCTGGTTTACCGAAAAGGTCTCGGCATTTCACAGCTCTTAGAAACCTAAAACCTCCGACCTTAGGACCTTAGGACCTTAGGACCCAGGTCAGAACTCACAAAGCCGGCCATTTCTGTGGGATCCGTGGCGCTTGAACTGGTTTCCAACCAGCCAAGAGTCAAGTCGATGTTCAGGGCTTCAGCTTTCTCAGACAGCAGACTGAACCATCCGACTGGTTTGGGGATATCGACTTGTTCCTTCCCACTCTTAGACCCGGAGATTCGAGTCAGTTCGAGCGAAGCGCCGATTTGCTCGAATTCGAGTCGATGAAGATGCAGGCCAGGTTCGACTGAGCCGTGCGGCACTCATGTGAAGTTTAATCAAAATTTGTGCGTGTGTTTGTACTTCCCGCCCCTTTGGAGGGGACGAGCTCTGATTTTAAACATGTCCTTTAGGTCCGCATGGTTTTTGATCGTGACTCATGTGGATAGGTGGTGGATAATTCCTGAACCTACTTGACTGGGTACTGAATCACCCACAATGTTGATTGCTGCCAGGGTAAACCAAGAGGGGAAGGATGGTTCTTGGATTTTTCGGATCCCTAGTTGCGCTGCTTGTCTATTGGTCCTCGAGTCCCCAAACAGGGAGGCTCCTTCAGTGCAAACCCCTCCTTAATCAGATTGTCATCCCGCTTTGTCGTAGGGAACGGATTTGTCTTTGGAGAGAGTCCGCATTTCAGCGAACATGCCCCAATCGTCCAAGCCTCCAAAGTGAAGGACGGGACAACCTGCTGGGGTTTTAGGGTCACCGTTGACCATATAAACTTGAGTGTTGCTTCCTTTCGGACAGATAACCGCTGACCATAGATGGCATGAACGTGAGTGTTGCTTCCTTTCGGACAGATAACCGCTGACCATACATGGCATGAACTTGAGTGTTGCTTCCTTTCGGACAGAAATATCTTTCTGGTTGTTTTGAATGATAGCTGAGGTTGCATCTGAGGTACCGATTTCGTTTCAGACCCATCCAAGGGCCCCGGGTGTCCCTTTCAGTTCCATCACTTTTGGAGGGGAACACCGTCTTTCAGGACGAGTTTACTGATCTGGGGTCGACATTGTGCAAGCGGTGACTTGCAGTCCCCCCCAGCTTTCCAGATAGAAATCCTGCACCACCTAGGAAGCTTTGGTGTGCTGATTCCCCGCAACTACCAGCAAACAATGGCTTCCCATGGTTTCGAAGTGGTGCAAAATGGCCATTGTAGGAATGTCTTGCACCTCTGTCCTGCCGTGGCAAACGGCTTTTCGGGACTCCAACCCAACTCGCCACCTTGCGAACCGCCAGCGACGTCCGTCAGGCGCGGAAATGCATGAAACCTCGGCGGTGGTTCGCTCGCGGAAAAAGAAAAAGAAAAACGGCAGACGACGAGCGGTGGGTTCCAAGGATCTCTGGTTCTCGTTTCCCATCGGATCATCCGATCCCTTAGGTGTTTAGTTGTTTTCGGTTGGCTTAGTGGTCAGCTTCGCGTCCCGTTTTTTTACCCACTGAAAGTTGAACTTTGAGCGGATCTGAGGGCAACCCAATTCTGAGATGGGTCTCTTTGACTTGGGGATGCGATGTTGACTTGGTTACTAGATCCCTGGGATTCCAAACGACCCTTAAAACCCATGATTGGGTTCATGTAACTATGTAACCATTTGTAGCCCATGAATTCCCCAAGGCCGAACGGGGCCAAGGAACCCTAGAGATGGGCGGTCCTATGATTCTCGACCATGGGCCAACCTCTTTGAAATCATTCGCAACGCGACCCAAATCGACAGCCCTCAGAAGTAATCAAGTCAAGTCTTGCTGCTGCCCTGGATTTGGGAGAACCATTGTGGATCGCACTCCCTGAGTTCCTGCACTGAAAACCATTTAGTGGCAAATTAGAAGTTCGGACTTGTTTTGGCCCATCAACTCAGGAAGTGAGTTATCCCTTCATCCATTCCAACTGGTGCGAAGTGGACTGATCTTGTCCTACTCGAGGTCCTTTGTCTATCCGGATCATTTTGAGGGACACCAACCGTTGAATCCGGACAATTGCCCTGCAGAAGGTTGGTGGTCCCCCCAAGTAGTAGGCCGCCAAGCGCACGCAGAACGGAGAGGATAATACTAATCGGGGGCCCCAATAATGATGAATCCCCACTATCCAGGGACACCCCCCCTGTTAATCAACCATGGTTTACTAATCCGGGGTCAACACAAAAAGAAACCCCATCATTGAGCAGTTGGCAGACCCCCGTTTCAGCAAACGGAGATGGCATTGTCAACCCCTTAATGAAAACAAGCGCCGCCGCAAAGACCACAATTGATTCCTGTGAATCCTGTTCCAGGTAGGAAACTCACTTTTGGGCAATGATTTGTAATAGCGAACCCCATCAAAAATGGTTGCTGACCACAACTCCCCCCCTATGTCCACCCAAGGGGTCCCCACTTATTCACACCATCCGAGACATTCACTTTTGAGAACTTTGGTCACAAATCCAAAGGGAAGAGCCCACCGCCCGGGGTGGCTTTTCTTTGGCTTTCAACCCAAAAATGGGACCCTTTTGAGGAGTACCGGCCCTTCAAATGACAAGGAGAGCCATCTGAGAAGCCGGTAAGAAGTTCTACAAGCTTCCAGAATCCGATTTGGATCGCATCCCGAAGTCGGCAACGGCGCAACATTTCGGCTCAGTTGCTGCGCACAGCTTTTCGCAGGCGGGCCATGGAGCTTTGGTCTTGGGTTCAGAAACCAATTGAGGAGTTCAAACCGAAACTGACAAACGGGCAAGTCATTTTGGGAGAAAGGCCCACCATCCACACCACCCATCCTGCTCCACGCAGGCCTCCTGCGGACGATTCACTACAGGCGGGATGCAGGGCGCATATGGCCTGGATTGCCGTTTGTTGCTGGTCTCCCATTGCGAAATCATGCGATTCCAGAGGCCCATTGTGTATACTCCGCATGAGAGCCATTTGGGTCAGGAGAACAACCAATCTGCATCTAGAAGCCATGGCCAACATGCTGCTCGTGATAGTGGCACTCACCGGCGTTGCTGTGGGGAAATCCACATGCACGTCCAACCGGCCCGAGATGAAGAGCTGCGGGGCGGAGTGCTTCAGCCACAGCGACGTGGCATCTTGCTCAGCCGACTGCCTGGAGCAGAAGGGTGAAAGCTCCGTTTGTGCGCAGTGCTATGGTCCCAAGATCCAGTGCTCCATCGAGAAGTGCGTGGACAAGTGCAACGACGAGTTCGACTTTAACGGGGACTGCCAGGCATGCATGATGCAGACGTGCAACTTTGCTACCTCTTGCACCCCTG